AAGGTCACATGTACAGAATCAGAAATCAGAAAGGCTTTGGACTTCTCAACAGCAATCTTGGAAGTTTAGATGACAACAGAGCCATTTCCACAAAAAGTTAAATGCAGACTTACCAGATGACCCAGCAACCCCACTCCTAAAGTATATACCCAAGAGACTTGAAAACATATGTTCACACAAAAACTTGTAAGAAAATGTTCATTGAGGCATAAACACAATAGACAAAAAGTGGAAATAACCCATAGGTGCATTGACTGATCAAGAATAAACAGAAAGTGGTATGTCCATATAATAGAATATTAGTCAGCCATAAAAAGTACTGATAAAAGCTAGAACATATATGAACTTTGAAAATATTGTGCTAAGTGAAAGAAGCCAGACACAAAAGGCCACCTATTGTATGATTCCATTTAAATGAAATGTCTAGAATAGGTAAATCCATAGAGACAGAAAGTAGATTAGTGGGCGCCAGGAGATAAAGGAAGGGGAAGGGGGAGTGACAACTAATGGGTACAAAGTTTCTTTTTGGGGTGATGAAAATGTTCTAAAATTAGATAGTGATGATGATTGCCCAACCTGGGGTATATATTCAAAAGCACAGAATAATATAGTTTAAAATGGTAAAATTGGCCGGGTGCAGTGGCTCACGCCTGTAATCCTAGAACTCTGGGAGGCCGAGGTGGGCAGATCGTTTGAGCTCAGGAGTTTGAGACCAGCCTGAACAAGAGTTCACCTCTACTAAAAAAAAAATAGAAAGAAATTATCTGGACAACTTAAAACATAGAGAAAAAATAAGTCAGGCCTGGTGGCGCATGCCTGTAGTCCCAGCTACTTGGGAGGCTGAGGCAGGAGGATCGCCTTAGCCCAGGAGTTTGAGGTTGCTGTGAGCTAAGCTGATGCCATGGCACTCTAGCGTGGGCAACAGAGTGAGACTCTGTCTCAAAAAAAAAAAAAAAAAGGTAAAATTTATGGTATATAAACTATATTTCAGTTTGAAAAGAAAGACAATGGAGCAATGTCTTTGAAATTGTATTCCCTGGTAAAGTATAAGTCAAATATGAGTGTTGAATAAAAACATTTGCAGACATGAAAGGTCTCAAAAAATTTACCATTCATGTACTCTATTTCAGAAAACTACTGGAGATACACTACAGTAGGGAATAGGAAATAGACCAAGAATGAACCAAGAGAATGGCAAGGTAAATTCCCATGATAGTGGCAAAATGAATCTCAGGAAGACAGTTGGGTAGCAGATCTGGGGATGGGGAAGACTTTGGATAGAAAAAGAATTGAGATCTCTAGAAGGGATGGCTTTGAAAAAACAATCAATTGGAACTAATAAATTACCTGATAGAACTGTCCCTATGGGAAATTATATGGAGAGACAAATGGAGGGGGTGGGAATTGTCAAGAATTAAAAAGAAAATGAAGAATTTTTATTTATTTTATTTTTTAAAGTTTTTCATAGAGATGGGGGTCTTGCTATGCTACTCAGGGTGGTTTTGAGCTCCTGGGCTCAAGCAATCCTCCCACCTCAGCCTCCCAAAGTGCTGGGATTATAGGCATGAGCCACCACGCCTGGCCCAGAAATTTTCAAATAAAAGGGAATTATTTACTGTAGGAAAAACAAAAAGTAAAAAATGAGGACTCAAAATATGCTACAATGCTCAGCTGCATATAATGTTTGCATAGGCAAAATCATATAAAATTGCATTTTGATCTAACTGCAACTTATAATATAACCACATTGGAGGATGGAGAACAGCACCTGCTAGAGCCACCATGGTAGTGGCAGTAGCAATTAGGGAAAGATCTCCCAGGGAAGAATGAATCTTGAAGATAAGAATTAATCAAGGCTATGAATCTGGCAGTCTTTCCCCTGATGGCAAAGCATCTCTATACATTGTCACCCTTGAAGGATCATGATGCCATTTTATTGAGGAAGCTGGTGGGTTTCTTTATGGATGGTGAGATAACACTGAGGCTCTGGCTGCTTTGGCAGAGGAGGAGCTCTGGGACTCCCATAGGAGAAGCGGAGGGCCTGGGGCACTCCTGCCAAAAGCAGTGTCTGTGGACTTGTAGACACTTGGATTTAGGGAAGGAGGTATGGCCACTTGGCAGAAACACAGTTTCTAGACATCAAAGTGATTCTGGTCCTACTTGCAGTGGGGGGACAGCTCTTCTTGCCTCTAGGTCCGAGAACACTTCCCAGCAGGCAACATCTGTCCAAACCTCATGGGAGGAGGACATGAGGCAGGTATGAGGTACCTTATAGAAAGACCAGGTGAGGCTGGGAGCAGAGGTCGAGAGTGGAGTGGAGAGAACAGATCCTTGAGAAGGTGGTAAAGTCACGGGTCTCCAGGTGGAAGAGACCAACTACTAGGAGTATCTTAGGCAGAGTGACAGAGGGTAGCAGGCTATTGATGTGCTACTGTGTTCACAGCTGTCTGGGAGTGGTCACTGGAGTCACAGGGTCCTCCATAGAGAAGTATGTCAGCAGCATTCACACACAATGGCGCAGTCTTAGGAAACCAGGCCTGCTGAACAAAGCTGCACAATGTTCCTCCATAGAGGAGGCAGGACACAGCTGCTTAGAGCTCCACCAGAATACAAAATACCACTTTCTTGGACTAGGATACAGTAGGGTGAGAGTTGGCAGCAGAAGCCCTAAGAAAGTGTGGGCACATTACCAGCCCTAATTCTATCCTCTTGGTAAAATCATTGGTTTAGAAGGCTTGGTGGCTTAGGAGCTATGCTATATAGTCTAGCAGTCCCTCCTCATTCCAGGCAGAACTTACAGATATTGTTGGTGACATTTCATGCTGGGTGGGGGTCATTAAGTAGGGGCCTTACTTAAAGCTATTAGAAGTCCAGGTAAACTCTGAGCAACAGATTGCCCTGCCAGAAGATTCTTCTCCTTCCACCACAAACAGAAAGGCGCCTCAAAGAACTCTCCCTTCCTCTAAACAGGGAGCTTAGAATTTCCTGATATAATTGCATGTCAAGGAGAGAAGGTTGGTAACTGGGGAAACTACCAACTTTCTTGATTGCTGCAGAGACTGTGGTAACACTAAAGGCTTAGTGGAGGTGACAGGAGAGCCTATGGGCTATTGGCTTCTGACCAAGTCCCACTCCACTAACTGCAATTAGAATTCCTGCCACCTGAGGGCACTGTTGGGAAGCAGGAAATGGTGGGGAGCTTTGGCCTACAAGGCTGCTCAGGAATCCCCTAGGATAGTTTAAAGCAGGGGCAAGTAGAGAAATAGAAATTTGCATGTGTTCTGGAACAAAAGAGCTGTATATGAAGACAGGAGGTAGTTCTTATAGGCAAATTGGAGGTGGATCCCAAAGAGATTCCCCTGAGGCATTGGTACAATGCCACAGGGAACATGTCTTGGCCTCCTCTGTGGCTGGGGATGGGCTTATTAAGGGTTGAGAGCCAACTCTTGTACACCTGTGCAAGGTGGAGAACGGAGGGGACTGTTCCTTGTCCCCAGCTCCCATCTGACAGAGGGACAGAATTGGACACTGAGTCCTGGCCAAGAAGTGGAGCACCACTGAGAGGACACAAGGGACCTCGGCAGCAGGGTCTGGCTCTAGGTCAAGGGTCTGGCAGGTTGGTGGGGACCAAAGTGGAGTAGGGGCTAAGGGAGAATGTCAATTAGACTAACTAGTCACATGTAGAGGAGGGGGGGATGCTGGACTCATGACCGGGAAAATTCCACTCCAAAGGGAAGAGCAGCAACCAGGTGGGGCTGAGTCTGAGGGTTAGGTGGGCCACGAGTGCTGACATAGAAAACATCTCTTCTAGATTTTTAAGTGCTCAGTGAGCAGTGAACAAGTATATAAAAGTATATAGTAAACATGTATTCATTTTTGTTGTTGCTGTTGTTACTGTTTCCCTTAAAATAGCTCCTTAGAAGTCATACCTGTAACACTATGAATCCAGAGGCTCCCATGAATTAGCCCGGAGCCATGAGGCCACAGTGGAAACCCCATTCCAAGTAGGAATTCTAGATGTGACTCAGATAACTAGTTCTAACACATCAACTCATGTTCACTTTATGTGAAGCTCGTGTTCTCTCCACTTCTCTGGCATTCCCAAACTTCCGGCCAGATGATCTCTCTCGAGTGCGCCCATCCACCCACTGCTCCACCGCCCCTGTGCTACACACTCCCACTGCCACAGAGCCTGAGGTGCATGTCTGTCTTCCCCTAGGTTGCCTTTTCCTTCCTCTTGTCCTAGGAGTCTCTCTGGTTCTGAGTCTCTCAGCCTAAAATGTGTGTCACAGAAATCCAGAGACCCTTCTGACTTGCTCTGGAGTCTTCCCAGAGAGGGGGAGGAGGAGGAGAGGGAGAGGTTTAGGAAGCAATTTCTACAGACGTCACCTTCCCAATTTACGATTATTTTTCCTAAGTAACAAAGAAGAAAATAAACTTTAAATGTATTTGTTACAGGCCTACTTACACACACAGCCTGTGGCCTCTGGTGGAAGAATACGCACCAGCGAAGGAAGGCATGCTTGTATTTGTACATTGGCTTTTCTCTGTGGCCTGTTCTCTGTGGCAACATTGCTCATTACCTTCTCCAGCTTGACAACCTCACTGCTCTCCATTCCCAGTGATTCTCCTCCTTTAAGGAGTCTATTATTTTGTTTAGTTCTTTATTGAAGCTAAAGATTATAACAGCCTTTTTGTTTAATGTTCCTATTTTCACTGCAGCCCCTATTTGCCTTTTTTTTTTTTTTTTTGATGAACAATGCACATGGGGGAGATAGATGTGCTTTTGAATTCTCATATGCATGGCATAGACAGTAACTTTGGGGAGTGATTCAATAAATTATAGGCATTGTCCCTCCTTTTAGAAGGCTTCTAATCATAACTATTTTCTAAAAACTGAATTTATGAGCCACTTGCTTTGCTTAAATAAAACTCTCTTAGTTGCATCTATGTTTTATTGCTGTTGGTATAGATTTAGGCTTTAATTAAGGGAAATTTACCTCTGATAAATTCATCAACAAGCTGTAAATTAACTTCCACATGCTTAGCAGTTGGATCAAAGGCACAGATATTTTCGATTAAACTTCTGTTAACATACTGTGAACAAAGAACAAAAGAAAAGTTATGGGATCATGAGCCAGTGGAAATATAGTGTCCAGTTCATGAATTTGCGTAATTCCATTTATATAGATTTTAAGATAAGCAAAACTAATCTATGGTGTTAGAGTCAAGATTATAGTTACCCTTGGAGGGGGGCATGTGTGTGTGTGTGTGTGTGTGTGTGTGTATGAGTGAAGGGTGTTCTGTTTCTTGATCCAGGTGCTAGTTACATGGATGTGTTCAATGTGTGAAAATTGTTGCATTTGTACACTTATGATTTGTGCAATTATGATTTATACAGCTAAATTTGTGTAGGTTATTTTTCAATAAAAAGTATTTTTAAGTACTTTAAAAATACTTAAAAATAAACTTACAAATCTACACTTCTCCCAATTTTCAAATTCACTTGAGAATTCCAGATCTGGATTAAAGAACAAGATAACTGCCTTCAAGATGTCATGCACTAGGTTTACATTGGCTTTCAACTCCAGGTACTTGCTGTCTTGAGGAGAAGTTGTCTCTGCTAGAAGATTATGATCATAGAGCAACAGTGTCACAAAGTCCCCAGATTTGAGCAGCTGGAGGCTTTCCTGCAGCTCCTGCAGCATGATTCGGAAGAAGATAATTCCTGCCCGCTGGACTTCCCCTACACTTTCGATCTCTGGAATAAAAAAATGACATCACACATTGCTCTTCAGTCAAATACATTGCTTTGTCATAGGATTCCAAATATATTATAGTAAACTTTTTTTTTTCAAGTAAAAGAAGACCATATCCTATGGTTTTAAACAATCTTAGTTTCTGTAGCCATGAAATCAGAAGAAATAAATGGAATTACATCTGATGAAGCTCACAGGAAGAGGCCTTGAGAAAAGGCAAAAACTTGAGTTTTAGAGTTAGACCTTAGTTTAAATACATGCTCTCCCCTTTTAAGTTCTATTGTCTCTCTGAATATCCTTTCCCTCTTCCGTGAGAATGGGGCTAATCCCCAATGCCCTGGTGAGCTGTGGGAATTAAATAAGACAATATATGTAAAAGTGATTAGTCTCAGGCCTTATGCATAGCGAACACTCAAAAGACATGAATTTTCTTCTTTCTTCTTATCCCACTCCATGTAATGGCTAGAAGTCTTCCAGCTTAATCCCATATAATGTTACTTGTCTGATTCTATTCACTTCATTTTAAGTAGCCAAAGGTTTCTATGCCTTCTTCTTTCCTCCTTACTCTCCAAGCAGTATTGTGCTAAGAGTAGCCAAGTGCATGTGGAATAAAAACTGGGGTCCAGGTTGGCTCTGCCACTAGCTTACTATTGGCCTTTGGATGATCCACTCTACTTTTGTGGTCTTTAGCTTCTTTATCTATAAAATGAGATGTTCTGATTAGTTAATGCTGTGTAATATAGCAGAACCCAACCTGGGTTCAAGTCAGCCTTCACTATTTGTTAATTGTGTCATTTGGGGCAAGTTGTTTACTTTCCTCACCTGTACAATGGGCTATTACCATTCACCTCATAGGGTTATGGTAAGGATTAATGAAATAATATATTTAATGTGCTTGATAGATGATGGGGCATTTAATAAATTCTAGTTCTATCTTGCCATTATGAGTTCTTCTGTTTCTAAAACTATGAGATTCTAACCAAGAGAATGTGATTCCATGCTCTTTGTTTTAATTTACAGACAATGCTCATCAGCCTAAAAGTGCATAAGGGAATTCTTTTCACGTGGAAAGATCTGTATGTTGCCACAATTCATTCTAGAAAATGCATACTTCATTGCACTGTCTGTGATTTCCCCAAAACCTATTAAACCCATGAATCCACACCGTCACCCCACTCATAATACCTAAGACATAGTTTTTCTGTATCTCTCCAGAGAGTTCGCCAAGTATTTCATAGCAGGCAGCTTGGATCACCTTCATCATTTTCTGTAGATCTTTATATTCCTGGTATAACAACATTCTATTCTTGCCAATGTTAAAATCCAGGACTCCCAGAGCCTCTCCTGTTCTCTCACGAAGTGGAATTACTAAGTGGGTTTCTCCACAGACAGAGGCCAAAACAACTTCTGAACTGTCTGTACACTTGAAGAGGAAATCTCTGAAACCAAAACCAAATAAGCACAGGATATTAAACATCTGCCTGTTCACAAGATTCCACCCAAACATATTGAATCATTCTTGTGCCTACCTCACTGCTGCCACGCCATCCCTTGTTGCTCTTTCATCTGCTGGGGACACTCCATGCCTTGATTTCATATGGCTCTGTCCCTCAGTTCACTCATGTCTCTGCTCAAACATCCCCGTGGTAGAGGAGCCTTCCCTGACCACCCTTCCCTAACTACCCCTCGCTGCTGCCGAGCCACCACTTTGTGTCTTCATTGCTAACTAGTAATGATGTATCATACTAAACTTTCCAGACATAACAATAAAGCCTGTTGGTCAACAGAACTTCCTCCAAAGGCATTTGTTCTCAGTTACACACAGGGATCCAGGGTTATGAGTGTGGATGTTATAAGGATGCCTACAAAACTCCTGACTAGCACAAGGAATTAACTATGTGGAAAAGAGCTTGAGACTAAATGAACATTCTGGTATTAATGTTCTAAAGTTTAACTAGCATATGTAATTAAGTGACAAATTAGCCTACTAGTCTGAGATTACTGGGTTATTGCCTACTCAACTACACTGACCTCCCCCCACCCTCCCCCCACAAGAAGCAAGTCATTCATTTTTGCAATAGGTGTGTTCTCAATGAAGATCTGTTCTGCCTATGTCCACAGTTTAGCAGCATCCCTTGCATTCCAAGGTGAGAGTCATTCTAAGTAATCTAGAACTGGCTACTAGTTAAATACAACATTCTCCGCCTTCTCTCCAACTTTGCCCCTGTGTTCTTTAAGTAAAAAAAGCACACATTCACAAGCTAGCTAGCATTAACAGATGAGCTCTAATAAGTGAGTGATGTGGATTGATTATTCGTAACTCACAGATCTGCTTTAGTGAGAGACTGGAGACTTTTGTTGAATTCCATGCTTACAAGAAAATCTTTAAAAAAAAACACTATCATGTTTTAAAACACAATTTTAATATAAAATACCAATGAATTCTGTTTTAAAAAGGACTTTAAGGCCGGGCGCTGTGGCTCACGCCTGTAATCCTAGCTCTTGGGAGGCCGAGGCGGGCGGATTGCTCAAGGTCAGGAGTTCAAAACCAGCCTGAGCAAGAGCGAGACCCCGTCTCTACTATAAATAGAAAGAAATTAATTGGCCAACTGATATATATATAAAAAATTAGCCGGGCATGGTGGTGCATGCCTGTAGTCCCAGCTACTCAGGAGGCTGAGGCAGGAGGATCGCTTGAGCCCAGGAGTTTGAGGTTGCTGTGAGCTAGGCTGACGCCACGGCAAAAAAAAAAAAAAAAAAAAAAAAAAAAAAAAGGACTTTAAAAGGTAAAGAGAGTTAATATGTCTAAGAAATTTTTCTTCACAAGCTAATCAGGACAAGAGTGTGCACTAATAAGGGTCCTAATAAGAGACAAAAGCTGTGTCTTGCAGGTCTATTATCACACCAGGAGGATGTGCACTGGCAGTCAAACAAAACAGACATGTCTCATACCTGAAGATGCATGACTTCCTGAAAATGATAGGGGGATTTTTGTGGATTTCTGTTAGACCCAGCTCCCCTGTAACCATCATATTGCGTAAAATGTAGTCTGAATCCTTGAAAAGAGGAAGAGATTTCATTAGAAAGGAGTAATTAGACCTCATGTCTCCATTAAAGCTTTTGGGGACAGATAGATAGAAAAAAATTAGAGAAATTTAGATGACTTCTAGCTTTAAAGGCAGTGACATTTTATTTATTCAGCACTATTAAGGAACAGGGCATTCCACATGAGAAAATTTTCCAAAAAATAAGATTTAAAAAAAAATATACAAGCTTATCTTACATAAATGTGAAAAAATTGTATGTTTATATTGTTTTTCTGATGTTAAAAGTGTACTGTAGAACATATGGAAAATTCAGAAACACCCAAAGAAAATAAATACAATTTTAAAATTCTCTAATTTTAGGTCTCTGTCCTCACCACTTCACCAAAACTGTTCTTGCCAAGGTTACCAGTGACTCTCTCGTTTCCAAATCTACTGGTCAATCCCCAGTCCTCATCTTTATCTACTTCTTGGCAGTACGTGACTCAGTGAACAGTTCCCATCTTGATATATCTTCTGCACTCAGCTCTTGGGCCACCACTCTCCTGATTCTCCTCCTACCTCACTAAGCACTCTTTCTCATTGCCCTTGCTTCTTCCTCATCTCCCTTCTAAGAGATTTTCAAACTGAAGGTCATAACCTACATGTGGGTTGTGAAAATATTTTAATGAGTGTTAAAAATATTGATCAACATTTTTTGGTAGAGACTAGTTTATTTATAAGAAAGCAATATTAACATATTCTGTAAGATGCACTAAACTATAGGAAAGACAAATTCAATTGTGAGAAGTAACAAGGGTTTTTTTATGAATAATAACTTTAACAACTAATCCTTGGAATAAAAAGGAAACTATGATAAGAGAATCCATAGGGGCTTCATGCTGAATGGTGCTTGGAAGACAAACAACTGCTTTGTAGTAGTGACCTTAAGTATTCTACCCAACTCTTTTTTTTTTTTTTGAGACAGGGTCTCACTCTATTGCCTAGGCTAGAGTGCAGTGACGTCATCATAGCTCCCTGCAACCTCAGACACCTGGGCTCAAGGGATCCTCCTGCCTCAGCCTCCCAAGTGCCCAGCTAATTTTTATATTTTTTGCAGAGATGGGGTCTGGCTATGTTGCTAAGGCTAATCTACCAAACTCTTCAGATAAAAAATGTTTTCAACTGGGTGTGGTGGCTGTCACCTGTAATCTCAGCACTTTGGGAGGCTGAAGTGGAAGGACTGTTTGAGGCCAGGAGTTTGACGCTGCAGTGAGCTATGATCACACTACTGTACTCCAACCTGGGGCACAGAGCAAGACCCTGTCTCTAAAAAAAATTAGTTAAAAAAAAAAAAAGAAAAATGTTTTCAACATTACAATTAGACTGTTAAGATTATCTCACACTGGCAATTGGGCTTTTTGCTTCTTTCTGAATTTATTTCTTTCCTGTTTTGTTATTTGGTGTTACATTATACTTGACTGAAAAGATTTTTTTTTAAATCTCACCTGACTGTGTTTCTAAGTCTAAATATTTAGCTAACACCAAACAATTCCCTTCCTGTTTTTCCCTCCAAAATCGCATAAATTGACCGCCCCTGCTGTTATACCAGAAGCATAATACATAATATAATTTGCTCATAATAATATGCCTAAAAATAAGCTTGCATTTCATTTGATTTTAGTTGAATCCCAAACTATAAATTTAGCAAGCCCCTCAGCAATTCTTCAGTAGTGAGGCAAGCACTCATTAAATTACCCAGGAAAACTTTTGGAGAAAAGGCTGCAATTGTATCCCCCTATCTTCTTTATTCTGCTGCTGGTTTGTTGTTTTCCCTTCCCTCTCCCATATCTGTTAATTCTAACCTTTCTCCTTAACACACTGTTTACTCATTTGTTTTAATATTTATCCTCTTTTGCTTTTTCTTCTCTTGACAAACACTTATTTAAAAAAAGAATGAAATAGAATCTACACTATCAGAAAACATCACATTTAATAAAAGTAGGTACTCTTTTGTGAGACTTCTATTTCAAGTGTGTGTGCCTGTGCACATGTAAGGGGTCAGGATACAAAATGTTTTCACATTGTGGGTCACAGTCAATACAGTTTTGAGCCACAATGATTCCAAACATCAGGACTCAGGTCTCAGATATTTTTTTCTAGTCTTACTCATCCTATCCAGTTTCATGGTTTTGTGTTTTATTTTGTTTATTGTGGTGAAATATACATAGCATACTATGTATCATTTTAACCATTTAAATGTATAATTCAGTGGCATTAAATATACCATGTTTCCAGGGTCTTATATTTATTTTTCCTCAAGAAGACACCCTAGGGGTTGTTTTCAGGGACGTGTTATTTTTTTTTAAGTACGGTACAACAATCTACATTTATTCAAATATAGTAAAAGCAAAATGAGTAAAATGGCAGCCACAGCGTTCCTCCTTCCCCCTGGGGACACACAATACCTAAAGCGGAGCTTCCTGCTCCTCACTTCACTGAGGAGACTTTCCCCTTAAAACCTCAGCTTGCAGCATGCACAGGATGGCGGGGACCTGACAGTGGAAGTTGACCATGTTGTTGAGGCTGCCCGCACATGTCCAGTCACCTCTGGGGTAGTAGCTGTCACGATGGGGCAGATGAGAAGGGCTGCTATCTTCTTTACTGCTCTCCAACGAAATGCATGGGTTGTGCAGATACGCTGCGTAGCCACGCCCATCGCTAGGTCTTATTTTCAGGGTAGGGCTTATATTGGGCAAATGCTTAGAAATCCTGCTAGGGCCTATTTTGAGGGAAACACGGTATTCACAATGCTATGTAACCCAGTCTCACGGGTTTAAAATACCATTTATTTTAATTCTTTTTCAATTTAGTAGGTAAAAAGTTATCTTTTACTGAACTTTTACTTTGTATTTATTTCTTCGAGAATGCTTGAATTTTTTTTACACCATTTTACAAATGGTTTATGAACCATTTGCATTAGGTGTTTTTTTTTTTTTTCTTTTTAAAATTGACTTGTCCCTTGCTTATTTTTCTTCTGGATTAAAAAAAAACTCATTGATTTATGTATAATAGTGTTAACTCTTTGCCAGATATGTGGCAATTTCCTCCCATTTGTCATAAGCAATCTCTCTCTCTTTTTTTTTTTTTTTTTTTGAGACAGAGTCTCGCTTTGTCACCCTAGTAGAGTGTAATGGCGTCATCCTAGCTCACTGCAACCTTAAATTCCTGGGTTCCAGTGATCTTCTTGCCTCAGCCTCCTGAGTATCTGGGACTACAGGAGAGTGTCACCACTCCCGGCTAATTTTTCTACTTTTGTATGGAGACGAGGTCTTGCTCTTCCTCAGGCTGGTCTCTAAACTCCTGAGCTCAAGTGATTCTCCTGTCTTGGCCTCCCACAGTGCTAGGAGTACAGGGGTGAGGCACAGTGCTCAGCCAATTTTTTCATTTTATTTATAACTTTGGTGCTAGAAAGTTTTACATTTTATGTAGTCAATGTATTAACCTTCCCTTAGTTGTTCCAACTTTAGGTGTAAGCTTAGCGATTTTTCCCCAGACCAAGATTATAAATTTTCTCTTAACCCCTGTACTCTTAGCTATTTTATAAAGAGTAAAATAATTTGTCAAGTTTTAAAAAATCATGTTGGGATTTTTTTTGGAATTCTGATGAATTTGTAAATAATTTTTGAAAGAAAGTATATCTTTAGAAAGTGGAGTCTTGTGAAAAAAATCATAATGTGATTTTCTATTTTATAGAAAAATTTATGTCCCTTGATAAAGTTTTCTAGTTTGCTTCATAGAGGGCCTAAGGATGACAGGATGAAGAGGGGAAAATGTTCTGCACAGAGTATCAGCATTTTTGAAATCCCTGAGTAAAAGAAAAGTTGCTTTCTATTATGGATGGTAAGACTGGAGACATTAATTATAGCATTGCATTTTTCTCCTCCCAATAGTCTCTCCTCTCCTCTTCCCTCATTCAGACAAAAAGTCAGTGTCTGTTCACTGTCTTAGAAAAGAAATGTGACGAGGGTGGGTGAGGTGGCTCATGCCTGTAATCCCAGCACTTTGGGAGGTCGACTGCTTGGGCCCAGGAGTTCGAGGCTGCAGTGAACTGTAATTGTACCCCCCGTTCTCCAGCCGGGGTGACAGCAACAGAGCGAGACCCTGTCTCTAGAAAAGAAAAGGAATGTGACGAGGTAGAAAGCAGAAATTACTGGCTAGTCCCTGACTTTTGTTTTTTCAAAAGCCTATGATGCTATGACTTGAGATAGCAAACCAGGCACACATGTTAGCCATTTGTCCCTCTCAAGACCTTAGGGAAATAAGAGACTAAGGTCTTGATTTTCTTGCTGGCTGTCAGCTGGGGGCTGCCTTTAGTGCCTAGAGACCTTGGATTTTTGTACATAGCCCTGTGCATTTCAGAGCCACCAATGGAGTGTCAATTTGCCACATCCCTGACTCTTCTCCCATCTCTCAGGAATGGCAGCCAGAAAGAGTTTTCTGTTTTTAAGGACTCATATGATTAGATTGTGCCCACTTGGATAATCCAGAATACTTTCTTCATCTCAAATTCCTTAATTTTAATCACTTCTGCAAAGTCCCTTTTGCCACATAAAGTATAATAATATATTCATAGGTTCCAGGAATTAGGATATAGACATCATTGTGGAGAGGGCATTACTACAGTTATGGTACTGAGGGCCTACCACAGTTACCTATTTAATAAAGTCAGTATTCCAAAGAAATAGACATAGCTGTTTTTGGGTGATAAACTAAAATAGCCTGAGTTCCATACCTAAGAAAATTTGAATCTCCAATTTCCCCTCATCTATGGTTATTGTCAACAGAGCAAGAGTTTTTTTCCTCTATGACGCCATACTTATAGGAACATGAGCATGAGGTAAGGTGGGGTATCTCAAGGTCTACTTTATTAATTCATATCAGTCGAGGTGTCAGAAGGAAACAGATGGCATGCTAGAGCTGGGTTTAAGGGGAGTGTAATAAAGAGACTATTTATAAGGCTTGAGCACTGTTTAGAATCCTGAACTAGTAACAATGAAGAGCTATTACCACCCTTGGTCTGGGGAAGCAAAAAAAGGAAGCAATTACTATAACTGGAGAGGAGAGCCATATGGAGAGGACCACCCGACTACAGGTGAAGTGCCCTTACTAGAGAAACCCAGCCAAGCCACCCCAACGTGGCAGAGGGGAAGCCAAATGCATAAATACCTCAGCCTCACTCTCCTTCTGCCCTCCAATTTTTTATTGGGACTCTCATTGGACAAACCAAAGCAGAAGCCAAAGGGCCAAGGAGCCCGTTGATACTGTCTACTTTTTGAGGCACTGAGCAGGCCGGACAAGAGAGGAAAATGGATCTGGAGGGGGTTGCAGAAGGGGAAGGGGGAGGCTTAGGAAGTTATAATTGACTTCTTGAAAAAAGTTATCCCTATTGCCACACTCAGTTTGTTGTCTCTTTGTTTTGTTTTGTTTTATTTTAAAGACAGGGTCTCACTCTGTCACCCAGGCTACAGTGCAGTGGCACAATGATAGCCCACTGCAGCCCTAAACTCCCAGGCTCAAGTGATCCTCCTGCCTCAGCCTCCTGAGCAGCTAGGACTACAGGCACATGCCACCACACCTGGCTAATTTTTAAATTTTTTGTAGAGATGGGTTCTTGCTATCATTTTCTTTTTTTATCTTTTACTTGACCAACATTTGCACTTGCTGTCATTTTTAACACCAAAACCTACCACAGTGTCTTCTACCTCAGATAAAACCTCTGACTATAGCCTTGGACAGGCTGTTCTGGTCTCTGCCCCACCAAGATCTCACTCAGACCCTGGCTCTTGGGTGGTCCTCCTCTTCCCCCACCTTTAGCATGATCTTCTTTATTGCCATGAGATGGCCCTGGGTCAGGTGGACTGTGACCCTTGTGGCTTTGTCTCAATTCTGAAACTATTAATACATGCTGCTGAAGCCATGATCCATGCTGAGTGCTTTTAGACTACTTTGGCCTTTTCCATAGTGCCCTATGTGTTGTCTTCCTTAAAGCCATGACAAGGCTGTTCTGAATCCCTCCTGGACCCCACACACTTTGGCCCCATAGAGTCGTACCTAGTTCTGAAGGCACTTGGAGGCTCCCATCAGCACACTGAGGAGTAGCGGCAATTACAAGGCATTCTTTCCCACCGCAGCCTGGCTACCCCACCAGAGAGCTCCATGATTTTGCCCTCTTTGACTAAGGCCTTGACAGATTAGCCCAGCCACTGAGGGAGAGAAGTAGGGAACTTGTGGGAAGAAAGGAAAAGAAGAAGCCAGGAGGGAAGCAGAAAGGCACCTGCTGTGGGCCAACAAAGGGACTAGGAGGCAACCAAAGTGACACCACCACCTGATCAGGCACCTCCTAGAGTTAGCCTTTTTGAAAAGAAGATACCTTTCCATCCATTCTCGTCATATGAAAAATTCTAACATTAAAGTTAAGTATATGGAGTTCTACTCAGCCACAAAAAACAATGTTGATCTAGCACCTCCTGTATTATTCTGGATAGAGCTGGAGCCCATCCTACTAAGTAAAGTATCACAAGAATGGAAAAACAAGCACCACGTGTACTCACCATCAAATTGGTATTAACTGACCAACACTTAAGTGCACATATAGCAGTATCATTCATTGGGTGTCAGGCAGGGGGGAGGGGAGAGGGGGGAGGGGTAAATTCACACCTAATGGGCACAGTGCACACTGTCTGGGGGATGGACATGCTTGAAGCTCTGACTCAGATGGGGCAAAGGTAATATATGTAAGCTAAACATTTGTACCCCCATAATATCCTGAAATACAAATAAATTGCAGTAGAAAAAGAGAAGAACTTAGATGCTAGAAAAAAATAAAGCATAGGCCAGGCGCGGTGGCTCACGCCTGTAATCCTAGCACTCTGGGAGGCCAAGGCAGGCGGATTGCTTGAGGTCAGGAGTTCGAAACCAGCCTGAGCAAGAGCGAGACACTATCTCTACTATAAATAGAAAGAAATTAATTGGCCAACTAATACATATAGAAAAAATTATCCAGGCATGGTGGCTCATGCCTGTAGTCCCAGCTACTCAGGAGGCTGAGGCAGGAGGATTACTTGAACCTAGGAGTTTGAGGTTGCTGTGAGCTAGGCTGACGCTATGGCACTTACTCTAGCCTGGGCAACAAAGCGAGACTCTGTCTCAAAAAATAAAATAAAATAAAATAAAGTATAAAGAAGCAAAGCAAATGTTCAGCAAGAATTCATCACATGGGGGGGGGACTTTAAAAATAAGATTGGTGTGATGTAATTGTATCCTTTGAAAAATGCAGTTCTTCATCCCTTCCCAGTCACCTGTATGATTCTGATGGATATTGCCAGTTACTGTAAACTCCCCACCCTGGCCAAGGGAACATATCTCAGGATAAGTCAAAAAGAGTTTCCATTCTTGGGTTTTCCAAATTGGAACTTTTTACTGGATGCTTTCAACTAAGCATCTGACCTGCCCCGTAGAGAAAGTCCATTTTTAGCTGGAAGGACAAAGGCAAAGTGCAGAGATAAGCAAATGTGAGAAGTGGTGAGATAAAGAACACAAGAGAGCCCTGATAGTATCAAATCCCTGAACCTGGCCATCTGGGAAGCCAGCTTGACTCCTTCCCTTTCTTCACTTTGGTCACATAAGTCAGTCAATTTTCCCTTTTGCCTAAGGCAGTTTGAGATAGATTCCTGTCTCACTCACAACCAAGGGTCTTGAGTTGGGGTCATGGGAAAGAAATATGACCCCAGTTAGCCTAATAGCTAATTAATATGGTTTTAAAATCTTAGCGAGATGATAACATCTAGAAACTTTGGAGAAGTCTGCTGAGCCTTGCCCACCTGGTTCAGGCTGGGCTCTACAAAGTAAGTGGTGATGGAGGTGATGCTGGATGTGATGTTATAGAGCCAGCCGATGCCAGTGATCACGACGTGTAGAATGTGCTCCCGGCTGTGGACGAAGTGGTAGGCCGTGCTAAAGACATTGGAAACACCCTGTAGGAACAGAAATTTCAAATTGTCTTTTCTTTTTAAAATAGCAGACTAATTAGTAATACATTAATTGGATTATCTTTTTGATTAATGATAATCTACTTCCTACAAACTACTCATCAGTTTTCAAAAGGCAGTGTTCCAGATGTTACTATGAAAAAAGGATCATCACAACATCAAAGGTATAAAGAGAGATTTTTATGCTTTCTAATTATCCAGTGAAATTTGTGATTCGTGCTATCAGAGAATAGCATCAGAAGAACAAGATAATTTTTGAAATGAGAAAAAATTCTTTAAGAGCCAAGAATTAATGCCAGCCTTGTGCAGATGGGTAGATGCCCTGATATGATGCCAATGTTAATGTCTGTATCTATACATGGTTACTGTCATCAGTTCAAAGTATAGGACATGTTTTGTTCCAAGGCCTGCAACATGTTAGATTATATAGTTCTCCTATAGGCATACAGAGACTCTGTTTCACAGAGAAGGGATGAAAAAATCCTGAGACTCCGTCTCTGGGCTTGTCAAGACACTCCAGTAACCACAAATTCTTCAAAATCATATGATTTTATATTAAGACTCAAGGCATCTAAGGGTAACCCAGGGGTCTTTTATCTTCAAGGGCTAGAGAGGAAATTTGTAATTCATTTTGACATACTCTCTAACAAGATTATATATAGTTCACCTACTGATAACTCCATATTCCTCCTCCATTTTACTCCTTAATATCTTCACATTTTTTTTTTTTTTTGATAGAGACTCACTCTGTTGCCCTCAGTAGAGTGCACTGGCATCATCATAGCTCACTGCAACCTCAAACTCCTGGGCTCAAGTGATCCTCCTGTTTTAGCCTCCCCAGTTGCTGGGACTACAGGTGCATGCTACCACTCCCAGCTAATTTTTTCTATTTTCAGTAGAGACAGGGTCTTGCTTTTGCTTAGACTGGTTTTGAACTCCTAAGCTCAAGCGATTCTCCTGCCTCAGCCTCTCAGAGTGCTAGGATCACAGGCGTGATCCACCACGCCCAGCCCACATCATTCTTATGTCCAATGAGATTGAATCTTATTATTATTAATAAAAAGTAGTCCAGAGAAAGGGATTCTACCACTTTCCTCAGTTATCTACCCAAAAGTGGGAAGAGAAAATGAAAAATAATGGTAAATAAACATAAAGAGCCTGAGGCTTACAGGGGAACAAATGAGAAGAGTGTAGCAAATTCCTGGCTTGCTGTTACATCACAGTCCATTGCCTCCATAAAGGCTTTCAATCTTCCTGTATTGCACTTTTTATCCATAAAATTAAATCAAAATGCTTGTAGAAATGATCTAGCTATTTCATAGTCTTAAAAGTGCCTATCTTTTTTGTGATCTAATTTGAAAACACAAATCTCGAGAAACATTTAGGCTTTTTTCTCTATTCTTCATCTTCAAAAATTATAACACTAAAATCAAGATCTATGGAGATGCATATCATCTTTACCACCATCTGTGGAAGGAACAAAGGATTTTTAGGTACCACTATTAATAAAATACAAACATATTCCTTCTAAAAGTTCATTCCCACTTTGCAGGTCTTAGTCAGTGGTCTAATGGTTGGATTTTTGTTCTATAGCACAATATTCTATGCCTACGATTAATGTTATGGGACACATATTAACAATCTTCACAGAGAGACTGAGAGTCCTTCCATAAGTAATGGGGAACCTCTCCAAAGACTGAAACATACGTGCAGGGAACAGGAGCAAGTATGATGACATTGTCTATATGCATAACTTTGTCTATATGCATAACTCTTATCTGGTTTCAGATTTCACTTTCTAAAAAATATAGGAGAGGGCATCCTACTACTGTTCTTGAAGACTTCTATGATTTACCTGATAGAATCTGATCTCATGAGGTAGGAAGATGTTTATTTCATGGGGATCTCTAAGGGTGTCAACAGCTAAGACCCCAAAGATCCTCATGTGTGCATCCTGAAGAGGCAGAGCCAGGAATGACCCATTATTATCATTCTCAGGACGGGAATGGTTCCAGAAGAAGATGTTCCCATGGTGCTGAACTTGGGGGACGTGAATTGGCTCTCCTTCATCCACTACTGTAAAGCTGAGGAAAAAGAATACAAGGATGGGAGAAAGGCACAAGGGGTGGATTTAGCTTAAACGATGGGAAAAGCTAGATTGATGCTCCATTCACAGTCATTGGCATTAAATGTCAAGAGAAGTCAACTCAGATAAGATTACCAGTTTGAAGGGGCTGACTTTAAAGAAAGATTTAAAGGATAAGCTTAGGTCTTAACAGAGAACACATACACAAATAGGATGCGTGAGACATAACTCATAGAGTAGGCAGAAGTAATTGAGCTGATATTGTGAAGCAGAGTCCCTACATGGCAAATCATTGCCAAAGACTGAGCTCTAGAAATGACCATGTGAAATCACGCAGGACTGCAAGCCCATCGGCCCCTACTCTAGAAGCACTGGTGACTTGAGGCATTTCTCCCTTCCCAGCTAACCAGGATTTTCATGCTAGTTTACTTCAGAAAGGGAGTTGTTTTTTTCAGAAGAGTGAAACCAACCTCAAGAAGTTCTTACCTGATTCCCTTCATGTCTCTGTAGAGCACTCTGTTCAGTACCCATGGAGCATCATCTAAGGTACAAGCCACGTTTCTCAATAGAGCATTTCCTCTGTTAGGCAGTAGTAAGTTTTCTTCTAAGAGGGAAATATGAGCACTGATCTTCTTATTTCCATGGGTTTCAGCATCCTAGGGCAAAATGTTTCTGACCATGTATTTGCCAACAGCCAAATAACTCCCCTAACATGTCTCTCTTCATTAGCCAATTTGTGTATCTGGCCCAGATCATTTCATTTTCCTGAATAGGTAATGCAGATATTACCATTTACTGGCAGTGGGGAAAAGGTTGACACCACAGTTGTCCCCCAAACCTGAGTTTTAGTGAGTGGAATGATTTCTGCTATGCCAACTAGACTGGTTTACTGGACAAACAAAAAACATAAAAACCTCTTAAGTCTACTCCAATTTAGAGGTTTAAAACTTAGATCCCTTTGAACTATAGTCAAATTGTTTGGGCTTCACTTAAAAGTATTGATTTTAAGGAACTGGAGCAAGAAGATGTCTTCATTTCACTCCTATTCTTGACCATCTACTGTGATGTGGATATGAAAAAAAATACTCTCAGGGAATTTTTAATACACTTTGGATATTTTATCTATGTCATCTCAGGAAAGAATTTCCTGAGGCTCAAGACTGCAGACTTACTACGACTACCATTTCTAATTAAAATAACTGAAAATTCTCTGTACCTAAAATATTATACTATTAATATTATGTGTTAACACATATATCGAACATATCCATAAATTGGGGACATGAAAGACACTTTCCTTGATATTTGTCTCCTCTTTCTATACATTTGGGTTTACTTTTCATGCCTTTTTCTCCTGCCCTATTTCTCCTTTCCACATACAAGATCTGTGGAATAATTTATAAACATGTAGTGAGAGTTCTCTTAGGGTATCACAGATCTCTGAAGCAAGTTTGAGTAATACTTCTTTTTCTTGACTGTTCTCCTGCTCCTGGTGTACCATTTCCAGTTACATTAGAAAATCCAGCCATTCAGGAGATGATTTCATTTGAGCAAGTATTGCTATTTAGCTGGGATGACTGGAGCAGGTTGCCTGGATCAGTGGAATCTGTGATATATGTAGAAGGCTGCTGTGCCTTCTACACTCATGAGCACTGACTCATGTCAGACTTTTATGCTTGAATGATTAGGAAGATGACACTGTGTGGGAGGAGCAGAAATCGGGGAGTCTCTGAAGAGATGGAAAGGCTGTGGGTAGTGGCCCCTCAGGGCCATGTGACAGGATTCTGTAAAAGTCTCAGGTTGCTTCTAGGCAGCACTGTGAAACAATGTGTGATGTTGGATTCTACTTTATATTTATAATTTAAATAGTTCCTTTTTAAAATGAATCCCAAATGTCATTTATGGAAATGTAACTTGAACTGCTTACACGTCTCCTTATTAGTATTTTTCATTATCAGTCTATTGTCTATTCTAGGTTTATTTGACCCTCAGCACAAATGAAAGTAGAAATTCCAAGACATCTTTTCTACAACTGTCTATTCTACCTTTCCTCTCTGCTTTGATCTTACCAACCAGCAGTCATTCCAGCTGCATCTCTCCTAGGCATTGAGGCATTTGTAAAGTACTGGAACGAACAAAACATCTACAGTAGCACCCGGTGATTTTTCAAGAGAATTCAGTATGCTCCTCTTTTGCAACCATTGAACATCACCTACTGTGAGGAAATGTTTCCTCTTATATATCACTTTAGAAAACATACCTGGGTGAGGGCCTTAAAGGTCTCTGTATACACTGGCTCGAGGGACACTCCACTTGTCTGTGCTGCACATTGGATCCGGTGTAGCCATTTTCGTCTGGCACTATTCCTCAGATTATCAACATGGCTCCTGTGTAGACTATTCGTCAGAAACTCCACTACACTTTCCAGAACTTCATCTTCATTGCCCCTGAGTTCAGATACAACCAATTCTATGTATTTCTGAAACTGTTTCGAAGACAACCTTATTTCGTGACCAGAGCGTGGCTTTGGAAATTGGATGTGTAGTTTAGCTAAAAGAAAAACACAAAACCAAACAAAAGTTCATTTATCAGTGGGGGAAATTTTTATTCTCCTCTTATAGCAAAATGAAACCCTTGACAACTGCTCTCTTGGAAAACCAGGTGTGTCAAAGGCATCTCTGAACCTAGTAGAATATTTTACAATGGCTTCCTACGCTGAATTGAATATGACTCCTGTGTCATCTTCTTTGTTTTTGTTCTGTTTTGTTTTAATTCTACCACTCAGCCTGGTGAAACCTCAGGGTCTACTTTGACTCCTCCCTACCTTTTGCCTTCCATATCCTATAAACCACTTAATCCTAACCTGTTACTCTTTGGCAATATGGCCACTCCTTGTGGCCATGCCTCTCTGTTCCTACTTTCATAACCCCAAGTCAGCTTTTTTTTTTATCACTTTATAGCTGACTTGCCAATAGTAAATGCTCAATATATGTTTGTAAAATTAAAACATGACTTGCATTATGCAATTCCCTGATTTGAAGTCTTACCATATTTGAATGCAGTTTATTTCCAATCATATTTTCCCTTAATATCATATAGGAGTTATCTGTTTCACTATGCCCATTCTTCTCACAGTTCCTGACTATGCCTTGCATACTTCTGCATCCACACTTCCTTTTATTTTTTTAATTGTATAATCATGAATCTGTTAATACTACCAAACCTGAACATTGCCAGTAATAATACTTTTTTTTAAAGGACCTAAACTTCCCCCAAATTTCAGCACAGATAGTTTTATTGTATGTTCCATCTAGTAGGTGATTTAAAAAATAGTGTGTAGAAATGAATAGTTTCAAACTGAGTAAATATGTTATACCATGTTATAAAATCCAACAAATCAAAAGCAATTGCCAAGCTGAATAATAAGTTACAAATAATAATTCTGGCTTGTACAGAAATGTGCAGTGTTTTCAAAGCTCTTAACAGTTACCCACTAACACAAATCTCCAAAGCTTAACTTAGAGTTGGAAGATGAGTTTCATTCACAGTAATGTAATTTTAACCTCCATTTACATTCATTTTAATATATTACTAAGATGTTTACTCTATGTCACAATGGTGCTTTCCAGTGTTCACAATTTACAGTTTCAATTTGTACATATGTAATTCACTAACATAAGGGACAGTTCTTCTTACTATAAACTATCCATAAAAAGCAAAATAAAACCTACCTTACATAGAACTCTGAACATGGTATGACTTAAAACAGATTAATGCAACATGGTTTTTAATATTTTAGCTATTTCCCAAATACCAGCATGTAACTTGCCTATTTAATATGTGAGAGCTACAACTTTATTCACTGAGAAATTTTGCATTAATTTTCTTCAACCACTTTCCTCATCGTAACTTAAAAATCTCCTGACTTGCTGGTTCTGTTTCAGTGAAATCCACATTGTATTTTTTTTAAGAATGGGAGGGGAAGGAAGGTGATAAATACATTGTAAACAGAAAAAAAGTTCCCCACAAATTAAGCTTTTTTAAAAAGTTTCTTTTTACTTTTACACTATAACACTTTAAGAGTCAGTTACAATGTTTCATCTTTAACACTAACACAAATAAATTATTGTAGAGTCAGTTTGCCCTACCACTCTGGTACCCAAAATTCTAAATATATGAACAGAAGAGTAAATACTTCAATGTTCAAATGTGAAATTTAGAACACTTGTATGATTTAACTACACTGGTCAAAGCAGTTACAAACATACAATTCAGTAGGTGGTTATTTTGCTTTTGGGGGTGGGCAAAGAACAGAGTAACATAGATTAACAAAAATAACTTTTGTTTCCCATGTTAGGGGGGAAAAATCACAGGGTAGTTTAAACCTCTCAAGTCCATTTGACCTATCTACTCAGGTCTAAGATGAAATTTTTTTCAATTTCTTAAATAATCTCTATTCTTTCCTTGAGTATCAAACTGATTGGTAGTCACATCTCCAAGTACAATCAGAGCTTAATAACTTCTTGAATGAAATATTAGTAAGATCAAAAAGACAGACTAAATTTCAAACTAGAGAAAAAAAACTACTCAAGTATTACATTCAGTTTTCAAATCATTTACTAACACAACAATAGATTTGGCTTCAATCGCTCTTCTACGCACTCACACCCACAACAGGCACCCCAGCCACCAATCTGCTTTGCAACAAAAGGCCATATAGTCAGAGATGGCATTCTCCAAGCCAAACTTTAAATAGATTAAAAAAAGTAATTTCTAATTTTACAGAAATGCTTGTTCAAAAAATATTTTCTCTCACTCCCTCATCTCCTATACTGAAGGATGTATAAGGTTTTTTTCCCCCCCAAGCTAAATCTGAACCCTCAAAATTGATTCCAGGCAGAAAATCTCTGCAAATTAAAATCAAAAACAAAAATAGAAAAATTATACTTTTTATATATGTGTATAATATATATATATACTGATTGGAATCCTCCAGCACTTAAAAATCACATTAGAGATGAATTTTGGGATCCTACTGTTCACAACTCCAAAATCCATAACCACTTAAGGACATACTTTTTCCTGCTTCCTTCCTGGTTAACCCCTCCCCTCCAAAACAGTTCAGTATAGCCACGGCTCAAGTTTAATGGGAAGAGAGAGAAGTGTATGAATAGTTTTTGTTTTGTTTTTTTCTTTTTACTTTGGTGATCTGGGTGGCACATATTGCTCTTTGCCATTACGTCGAGTCACTCCCTGAGGTATAGCCCTATGGCTAAACTGGCGTCTCTGTTCCCTGATTTTTCCAGCTGCTCCCCTGGGAATGGTATTGCCTCGGAAGCCAGAATAATCCTTACTAGCCCTTGCTTCTGGCTTCTCATGTGGTTTCTCAACAGACTTCTCAGGAGCTCCATTCTCTTCATTTTTGGTGGGAGACACTACATTGGAGCGAAGTTCCCGTAGTGGCTGCACAAGAACTGAAGATGGCTCTTTAGGGGGCTTCTGGCACACCTCAGCATAACTTAACTTTCGGGGTTCCTGTAGGGACACAGCTACAGCTGCATTTATGTTACTATTACATGGTGAAGCAGTATTTGCCCTTGATGGCTTCGCAGTAGTTAGGGAAGAAACTGGTATAGTTATCTCGTTGAGAACATCCTTCTGAACAGTAGAATCCTCTATTAAATCCTTTTCTTGCTGAGTTGTGCTTAATGTAGGAAGCTCAGCTGCACATGGAGGACTGGTACTCATACTGAGCTGCTGGGCAGAAGTGCAGTCTGTCTGCTCATCTTCTGCAGGCACTGGGCAACTAACTCTCAGCTCTTCACTATCCTTTTCTTTGTAGACACCTTTAACAACATCAGACATCCTATTCTCCAAAACAAGTTCACCTGGCATTCTTGATGAACTTCCAGGTAAAGGAGGAAAATTTGTGGCTAGTAAGTCAAACTTTGGTGTTGGAGCCTTTGCTTCAGCTGTTGAAGGATGGGGTCTTGGGATCCTATCATCTTCTCGTCGTCTTCGACCTCTGAAGAGAGTTCTCCTGCCCCTACCATAGTTCCCATTCTGTTCCATCTGCAAAGTGGGAGTCTCCTTTGTAAGGTAAGTTTGCTCCTGATGCCCTGCTACTGTAGGGTTATGCCGTTCAGTTGGAAAGTTCCTTGAACTGGATCTGTTCAACTGTCCATCCCCCAACGACACAGAGCCCTCTGTTGAGTGTTCTGAACCACTGGATGACCTAAAATGAGGCTTCACACGATTTTTTTGGAATGGTCGACCCAGATTCATAGCAGCAGCATTTGTTTTATAAGATCCTGGTGAATTAAAGCCATTCATAAAACTACCATTGGGAAAGGGAGCCAGTGGTGTTTCAAAGTAAGGTGCAGGATTTGGAGACCAAGACTGAGGCACAATACTATAGACCGAGTACTGTTGATGAGGATTATATACAGGCTGCATAAAGACTGGCGAGGCATACTGTGCTTGTGTATGAATGGGCTGACTATACATACTAGAATCCATTAATCGATAACCATTCTTAGCAAAAAATGTATTGATGGCTTTTATCCTTGCCATGATTGGCTTGCCCTGAAATGTTTTAACTTCTTCTCTTAAATATTTAAAAGCCTGCTGTGCATCTGTGTCCGACTGGAAAGTGATATACCAGTTGCTATTGTGTGCAAACTCACAGCTTATCACTTTGGGGCAGTTTTCATTTTTGAACAAAGCTTTCACTTCCTTTATTTGTGTTGTTTCAGGAATCTCTCTAAGAATCACAATACAACGCTTATGACTTGGTCTCACTTTCTCACCCTTCTCATCAACTTGTACCATGGGAGAGGATCGCAACACTTCAAGAATTAGATCAGGGTCTGTGGTCAGCTTTTTTATTTCTTCCATGTTGGCAACTGTCCAAATTGGGACGAACTGATCACTATCCATTTGAGATATCAAGTAAAGATCCTTTGACAAATTTTCTCGTGAGAAACAAAATTCCAACTGTTTCTTCAGACACTCTTTTAGGTCTTCTGTAGAAATTGCTGAATTGCTTTCTCCAGAAACATCATATATTTGGTAACTCAGATCTTCTGGTCCTAAAATCATTCCATCAGTTGATTCTTCAATGCCTGTATTATTTCTTGTGGTTTCACAGGATGAAGAATACATTACTTCATACTCCTTACACATATCTTCTGATGGCTCTGTATTACCCTCAGGAAGAGATCCTGATGTGGCTGCTGTTTCATGCCAAGAGCTGTCACTTTTGTGAGTTACTGGGGTGGCATCAGTACTTCCAGGAGGAATTTCTTGCCATACTTTGGCATTAGGATTTAAACCAGTTACTTTAGATGTTACCTGCTCCACGAAAAGCAACATGTCTTCCTCCGCTTGGCCCAGTCGTTCCCGCCACCGCGACTCCAACTAGCTCACAGGCCTGAGCACCAATTGTTAGGATAAGGACACTCGCCTTGCCCCTCCACCCGGCAGTGGACCCGGCTCCTCCCCCACCGTCAGCCGCCGCGCCTGTTATTTTTATTTTTTAATTTTTCTTTTTTTTTTTTTTTTTTTTTTGAGACAGAGTCTCGCTTTGTTGCCCAGGCTAGAGTGAGTGCCGTGGCGTCAGCCTAGCTCACAGCAACCTCAAACTCCTGGGCTCGAGCGATCCTTCTGCCTCAGCCTCCCTGGTAGCTGGGACTACAGGCATGTGCCACCATGCCCGGCTAATTTTTTATATATATATCAGTTGGCCAATTGATTTCTTTCTATTTATAGTAGAGACGGGGTCTCGCTCTTGCTCAGGCTGGTTTTGAACTCCTGACCTTGAGCAATCCGCCCGCCTCGGCCTCCCAAGAGCTAGGATTACAGGCGTGAGCCACAGCGCCCGGCCTTTAATTTTTCTTTTTAAGAGATGAAGTCTCTATGTGCCCAGGCTGGAGTACAGTGGCTATTCACAGGTGAGATCCCTCTACTAATCAGCACAGGTGTTTTGATCTGTTCTTTTCCAACTGGGCTGGGTTACCCCTCCTTAGGCAACTTGGTAGTCCCTTGCTGCCTGGAAGTCACCATATTGATGCTGAACTTAGTATGGACACCTCATCAATGGCATAGCGGACTACATCCCAGAACTCCTGGGCTCAAGGAATCCTCCCATCTTAGCCTCCTGCATAGCTGGGACTACAGGTGCACATTAGCATGCTCAGCTATTATTATTTTTAATTGACACATAATAATTGTACATATTTATGGGGTACAGTGTGATATTTTGATATGTGTATACAATGAGTAATGATTTAACTCCTTCATTTTACAAACTAGGAGACCTGGGTCTATGGAGGTTAAGGATCTTGCCAAAGGTCATGTGACCATTTAGTGATGATCCAGTATTGGAACCCAGCTATCCTGACCATTGTCTAATGTTCTCTGTAGAACATGGCTCTATGTTATGAAATTTGCTCATCTTATAAGTGGAAACCATCTCATTATGGTTTTTTCTTTTTTTTTTTTTGAGACAGAGTCTGGCTCTGTTACCCTAGCTAGAGTGCAGCGGCATCATCATAGCTCAACGCAACCTCAAACTCCTGGGCTTAAGCAATCCTCCTGTCTCAGCCTCCCCAGTAGCTGGGACCACAGGCATGTGCTACCATGCCCAGCTAATTTTTTCCATTTTAGTTGAGATGGGGATCTCGCTCTTGCTCAAGCTGGTTTTGAACTCTCGACTTCCAGTGATCCTCCCGCTGTGACCTCCCAGAGTGCTAGGATTATAGGTGTGAGCCACCTCGCCCAGCCTCATTATACCTTTGAAACTTCATTAAGTAAATTCTCTTTGATGCAGTCTAAAACAAGTGATATAGTATAATGTAAAGTTTGCAGAAGACATAGTTACTGAAGAGAACATAACAATTGATAAACTCAGGTACATTTGAAGATCAACAAATACAATGTTTTTTTTTTAAAGGGATGGAGAACTTAACTAACTTTGATGATTCTTTCTCTCATGCACTATATACTTCAAAAATTGAAAATCTAGAATGCCAAAGTCATCAGATAAATCCTTAAACTCAAGAGCAAGATAATTTAAACTAAGACCTAATAAAATGAAGAAAGGAATTTATTATACTGCAATGAGAATTTTAGGAGCTTTTGATTGGGAAGTATTGATCAGAAGAGAAAAGCATAATACAGATGGAGAAAAATTCATTAAGGAGAATAAGAAGTTAGTAAATTAAAAAGAAACTTGCAAGCCAGTCAGTCTTGAGGAGTGCATCAGACCTTATGAAGGCAGAGAGATGAAAGAAGAAGAGAAAACGTAGGCAGAACTGTGGAATGGTTCAGTCTTTCACCTTAAAAGTGAGGGTAGCCAGGTACACAGAAGGACTCTACTAAGGTCTTGGACAAAGCACTCTGCTACATATTCCATTCCTGATTGTGTTGACAAATGCACAAGGATTCCAATATTTCCACATCCTTGCCAACACTTGTTATTACTTTTTCATTTTTAAAATTATAGCCATACTTGTAGGTGTGAAGTCGTATCTTGTGGCTTTAGTACAACCAATATTTTAACCATACATACATCATAGATAGTACTGGGAAACTTGAAGCCAAGTAGTTACCACAATTTAAATAAGAACATTCCTATGTTTTACCTTTCTTCATAGATTCTTTTTCCATTCCATCCTTGTATGTATACAACAGTTCATCAACTTCATTCAGATCCAGTAAACCTGAGCTATCACTGTCCCACTTCTGAAAGAGGGCTTCTAGGAGAATCCCCCGCCTGGCTTGGAAAGCATTTTGTCTAATCTAGGATACACACAGGATAACAAAGCACAGAAGACACAATGTTCATTGTGTTAGCTGGCATTCTGTGTTTATTCCCCACCAAAAATACAGCACCTTTTATAAAAACAGCTTTACTTAGGGGTTAAACGTGATGTTAGTGGAAAATGCAGTGATTATTTTTCATTCCTTAAATGCCATTTCACCTCTAGACCATAAAAACAGGCATTCTCTGCATTGGACTAAAACACATTAACTTAGAAAGATTGTTAAGAATCTTTTTTTTTTAGTGTCCGGGGTCTTTGTCACCCAGACTGGAATGCAATGGCACGATCAATGATCATAGCTCACTGCAGTCTGGAACTACTGGACTCAAGCAGTCTACCTCAGTCTCCCCAGTAGCTGGAACTACAGGCATGCACCACTACACCCAGTTAATTTTTTTTTTTGAGACAGAGTCTCACTTTGTTGCCCAGGCTAGAGTGAATGCTGTGGCATCAGCCCAACTCACAGCAACCTCAAACTCCTGGGCTCAAGTGATTCTACTGCCTCAGCCTCCCGAGTAGCTGGGACTATAGGCATGCACCACCATGCCCAGATTATTTTTTCTATATATATTAGTTGGCCAATTAATTTCTTTCTATTTATAGTAGAGACGGAGTCTTGCTCTTGCTCAGGCTGGTTTCGAACTCCTGACCTCGAGCAATCCACCCGCCTCAGCCTCCCAGAGTGTTAGGGTTACAGGTGTGAGCCACCGCACCTGGCCTGCACCCAGTTAATTTTTAAAAAATGTTTTGTAGAGATGAAGTCTATGTTGCCCAGGCTGGTCTCAAACTTCTGGCCTCCAGCGACCCTCCCACATTGGCGTCCCAAGTGCTGAGATTATAGGCATGAGCCACTGGGCCCAGTCACCTAGAATCTTAGATGGTTCTTTTCCACTTCCTCCCTGAGTGTTCAAGAATGTGATAAACACATTGGATGCTCTGCCTGGCTTTTTGGTGGGATGTGTTTTGTAGTGAAAGGGAATGAATGGTATTGTTCAAATAATGAAATTGGCTGTGTTAAAAAAATTCTTTTTTATATTTAATGTTGACTTAACTTGACACTGATTTTATTCACCTTTTAGAGTTTTCACTAGACTAATTTTATTAATTAGATAGTAATTGAATTAATTACAAAAATAAAGTGAACATATACCTTTTGGGTAAGTGGGAGGAACTGTAATTGAAGAGGCAAAAGGGAATTGTCTAGAATTAGGTTAGAAGACTCATAAGACTGATGAGATTAATGAATAGACTTAGTGAAACTAATTTGCATATTTCATATAAGAGAAAACTAATTGTTTAAATAAGCTAATGTGTATGTATTTATCTATCACCCAAGCAAGTAGTAAGTTCTTAAGAAATATGTACCATCTGGATGCCCATGAATAAAAGCATATACTCAGTTGGCTGTGCATGATGGTTCACGCTTGTAATCCTAGCACTCTGGGAGGCCGAAGCAGGTGGATCGTTTGAGTTCAGGAGTTCAAGACCAGCCTGAGCAAAAAGCGAGACCCTGTCTCTATTTATTTTTTAAAAAATTGTAATATTTATTTATTCTTTTAAAAAAACATATACTCAGCCAAAATCATACCCCAGGAATGTGTACTTGCAAATGCACTCACATAGTAGACAGGTAATGTACACACACATATTTGCACATATTCATATCTGCTCCTCAGAATCTGCTCCTTAAGCTTCAGAGGAGGAAAAAAAAAGCTGTACAAGAAACCATCTTCTGCCAGGAGCAATCATGTTATTAGGGGAATGAGTTCCCTGGAGTGTGATCTTTGAACATTTAACAGTTAAATAAAACATTTAGTGGCTAAGCTTGTTGAAATAAAGTGATTTGTTTGGTTGTAAATTTTTTAAGAAGAGCCACATCAGGAGCAGCTGAGGTAGAGAGATTTACTTATAATAGTGACCTCACTTGTTTCATTGATAAAAAATATTACCTACCTGTTCTAAGGCATTCAGTTTCTCTTCTTTTGTTTCAACATAGCCCTTCTTAAAAAAGGAGGTGAGGGCCTCGCTGACACTCAAGGGCACATCTTCACCAACAAATGTCTCCAGGAGTTGTACAAACTGGTACAGATTGAAGGAAACTCTACTGAAGGCACTCCTACCTTTTATTTCCTTGTAAGATTGAATATTTCTGATAATTGACTGTAGGTCTGTCAAGCAGGAAACATACAAGAAGCAACAAAGTGAACAATTCTTTCAAACCTTAGGGAAAATATATGAGTACCCTATGATAATAGACATCTGCTATTTTTGCCTGTCAGGAATCCACACTGCCTTCACAAGGACAGCATCCTCCTTTTTTCTTTGGGAAACTCAGTTCAGATGAGTCAGGTGGTACTGAGCCTCCCCACCCTTGCTTCGTAGATGGTCATCTGGCTAACAATTTACATATGACAGCAATGTAACCCACTATACAGGCCCATGAGAATTAGCCCCAGAACTCTTGGAAGACCTGTTAGAGAAGAATCATTCTTTTTTGTACTCTAATTGCTAAACTAGTAGGATATAAGTTTAGAGACGCTCTTGTGGCCATTTTTGCCACAAATATGGAGATAATTGCCTCAAATTGAAAGTGACACAGAGAAGCACAGGACTGAGAGGCAGAAAGACAGTATCCTGCTGCTATTGTTGAGCCCTTGGATCTAGTTGTGCTTGAAGCCAGCTATACTCTGGATTTTCCGGTTAAATAAATGAGTAAACATCACCACTACAATCCCTCTTTGCAAGACTCTTGACTAATACATTTGTCTTGAAGCTCACTGTTGCAATAAGAGGTATATTGCATAAAATGTCAGCAAAGTGACTTATGTTTGATTTACTCATTGATTCAATCATTCGTGTCCTGATTCCTTCTATATGAGACTTGATATGCCCTAAAGATGATTACCGGCCAGGTTCAGTGGCTCACACCTGTAATCTCAGCACTCTAGGAGGCTGAGGTGGGAGGATCGCTTGAGACCAGGAGTTCAAGACCACCCGGGCAGCATAGCGAGACCCTGTCTCTACAAAAAAATTTTAAAATTAGCCAGGCATGGTTGCACACACTTATAGTCCCAGCTACTTGGGAGGCTGAGGCAGGAGGATTACTTGAGCCTAGGAGTTTGAGGGCTGCAGTGAGCTGTGTTCATGCCACTGCATTCCAGCCTGGGTAAAAGAGTGAGACTCTGTCTCTAAAATTTAAAAAAAAATTACCTATACAATTTTTATATACAATGGTAAAGCAAAATTGAAATAAAGAAGACTAGGAAAAAGAACGAGAACTAACAGGCCACAAGAGCTTGACCAATGCCATGCATTTTACCAGAATATTTTGAGGATAGAAAGTTTGTTATTTGATCAAGGCTTAAATGAGAAAAAAAATGTGCAGATAAGAAGAAAATAATCTTGATCTAATTCATTCTACTACTTGTTGATGTGAATGGCAAAATGATGTAATGGCATTTTAGTAAAATATAAGTACTTTCTGGAACAATCACTGGTAAATACATGGTTTACCTGAAAGCTAAAAACTACTCTTTGCTCTGCTGAGTACATCTTTCTTGGCAAGTCTACAAAAACAAGAGAGATTGTCACCTGTCTCACATGTTTGAATGTAGACCTACCAGAGAGAGGAAGAGCTGAAATGATTTCTAGCTAATATCTGATTCCCTTTGTATGCTTGGATCATAGCTTCACAGGGTTGTAGGGCCATGTCATGGCACAAAAAAATGTATACTAATACCATAAGTTTTAAGGCAGAAGAGCATTTATCAATAGGCACATGCGACCAACAATAGTATAACACCCCCCAAACATCCATTTTGTATCGATTTAAACCCATCTTCTCAGGGAAGAAAGAATGCAAGGATCACTCTCCCATTGTTCTTACTTAAATCCAGTCTTTATCACAGAATACCCAAGTATATTAAATCCATCTATTATCGAATCATCTATGCTTCCTGATTTCATTGTTAACATGTACCTTTGAACCTGTCGTCCTCATAGATTATGCTTGCCTGTTTCTCATCTTCAAATTTGGCATTTATTTTCCAGTTACAAGTAAAAAATTCACCTGTAAAAAACATATTCCACAACATAGCAAATTTAACTTCACTTTCACAATGTTCTTGGTCTAGGGGTATAAATGAAAAAAGGATTAAATGAGGAGTTACCTGACCATGACTGTCCTTCTATTCTTGAGGACTTGGGTTCACAGGATTTGTCCTTTTTTGCAGTTTCTAAAAGGTACAAAAGAAAAAAAAAAGGTACAAAAGAAAAAAAAAAGGTACAAAAGAAAATAATTATGAATTGGACATTATTTGTTCTATTAGATTTCTGAGGTCAATGAATGATAGAAATGCCTTGTATATAGAACACTAAAGATCCTACTTTCCCATATATATATATATATACATATATACATATGTATATATATATATATAGTGTCATAAACTACAGTGAAATCACTTAATAACTTTAATTGTTGAGAGCAGCTCTGTAGCAAAAGCTACTTGTTGTATCCCAATTTGTCCATGCAAAATGAGAGCTACATTTCCCAGTCTCCCCATAGGCAGGGATCACTATTTCTATACAATAGTACCCCCTTTGTCTGTGGAGGATAGACCCCCAGGGGATACCTGAAACTGCAGATAGTACCGAGCCATGTATATACTTTTGCAGTTTGAAGTGTGACAGCAAAAGTAGCATGAATTTCTTTTTCCTTCTTCACAATTTCATGGATATAAGATTTGTTCTTACTGTAGAATTTAACAACCTCAGTGTATGATTCTTTTTTTCCTTTCCTTATTAAGTCAAGAGAACTTTCACATTTTCACTTTAAAGGAAGCACTATATGGCTTCTCTTTGGCATATCCAAATTGCTAGCAAACTACTGTTGTGCTTTGGGGCCATTATTAGATAAAATAAGGATTACTTGAACACAAGCTCTGCAATTACAGCCACAGTCAATCTGATAATCTAGATGGCTACTAAGTGACTAGTAGGGAAGTAGCACAGGCGGCGTAGATACTCTGGATAGAAGAATGATTCATTTCATCCTTGGTATACTACTCAGAATGGTACACAACTTAAAATCTATAAATTGTTTATTTCTGGAATTTTCCATGTAATATTTTCAGATTTTGGCTGACTATGGTTAACTGAAACTGTGGAAAGCAAAACCTTGCATAAGGGAGAACTACTATATGCCTAAATACTGGCCAATGAGATATGAATTAATATTACAAGGCTGAGGTAGGAGGGTCACTTGAGCCCAGGAATTTGAGACCAGCCAGGTGCATTATGTCTTAAGTATGACTTTCAGAAACTCTTCTAGAACATATATTTTATATCTGACTGAACAAAGCAAGACCCATTTTATAGTTGAAATAAAAGAAATTTTATTTTATTTGTTTGAGACAGTGTCTCATTCTGTTGCTGGGGCTAGAAGTGCAGTGGCATTATCACAGCTCACTGCAGCCTCCAACTCCTGGGCTCAAGCAATCAAGTAGCTTAGCCACCTTCTGCCTCAGCCACCAAGTAGCCGGGACTACAGATGCACACCACCATGCCCAGCTAATTTTTCTATTTTTTTGTAAAGATGAGGTCTCACTATGTTGTTTAGGCTGGTCTCAAACTCCTGGCCTCAGATGATCCTCCCTTCCTGGCTTCCCAAAGTGCTAAGACTACAGGTGTGAGCCACCATGCCTGGCTAAAAGAAATTTTGAAAAGTGGTTTCTAACATCAGACACCACATTTAAAACAAAAGGGCTTCTAATGCCTTTTCAGAAACCCAAGTAAAACATTTCTATATGTAACAGTACCAGATTTCTTCCACACAAATGGACTTAGAGTGCAATAGAAATTCTATGTAAATTGACAATAGATACATTCTGTTTTCCATTTAATTGACTGTTCAAGGTCTAGACTCAAGTTGAGTAGCAAAATATGTCTAAGGTTTGCATGACCTGATATGCCAGAACAAAATCCTAATTTAAATGAGTGTTTTCTGAAAAGGCTTTAAAAACCACTCTATAAAACACGGCGCTGATGTTGCAGAAGGACTGCACTACTACCTGAATGACTAACTTTTCTACTTGATGTCAGAACTCCCTCTTCATTCGCTTGCTCCGGAGACCTCCCTTCTTGTAGAGGGATTTCAACATACTGAGAGGGAGTAGGCTCCCCAGGTTTTGTACTTTCATTTAATATACTCTCTGTTATTGGTGGTGAAGTTGACTCCATGCCCTGCTGTTCTTTTGAATTTGTCTCTCCATGAAGATTTTCTTCTGATCGTTCATATGGTTCTTCTCCTATTGACTTTCCATGTGAGCCATGTTCTGCAAGTCCTTGTTCTGTCATTGACTCCTTGCGTGACCCTTGTTCTGTCGACTCCCTGCGCGACCCTTGTTCTGTCATTGACTCCCTGCGAGACCCTTGTTCTGTCATTGACTCCCTGCGAGACCCTTGTTCTGTCATTGACTCCCTGCGAGACCCTTGTTCTGTCATTGACTCCCTGCGCGACCCTTGTTCTGTCATTGACTCCCTGCGAGACCCTTGTTCTGTCATTGACTCCCTGCGAGACCCTTGTTCTGTCATTGACTCCCTGCGCGACCCTTGTTCTGTCATTGACTCCCTGCGTGACCCTTGTTCTGTCATTGACTCCCTGCGTGACCCTTGTTCTGTCATTGACTCCCTGCGTGATCCTTGTTCTGTAGTTGACCTGGCGTGTTGTTCTTGTTCTATTATTAACTCTCCACTTGGTGCTTGTTTTGGAATTGACCCTGTGCGGATGCCTTGTTCTGTTACTAATTTGGTGTACAGTTCTTGTTCTGCAGTTGACTCTTTGTCTTGTTCTTCACTTGAACTTCTACGTGGTCTTTGTTCTGCAGCTGTCTCTCCCTGCTCTTTTGGTGGGGTTGATGGCGGTGTTGATATTCTCTGTTCGTCCTGTTTTTGTTGATCTTCTGGATTTTGCAATAATTTACTTCGGGATTTACTAGCGTGTTTTTCAGCAAGTAATGTATTCACCTCCAAGGCCACTTTGTCAAAATCTTCATAAATGTGTTTCTGATTATCCATGTCTCCCCAGAACTCGGGCAAGTCTATCTCTTCAAATTCAATGAATGGCCCTGATGCAGAAAGCAAAACATTTACCTAAACAATTGATCTTAGAATGTAGAATCAGAACTATTAAATTAATGCAAAAAAAAAAAAAAGATTGAGCACAGTGATTGTAATATAAGCCTATTGCTTTAAATAAATACCAGTTACCTTTGGCTGCAACATAATAAAAAGTAAAACAGTATCTAAAAGAACATAAACAATCCTCACTACTGAAGATCATCTCTTCCTAAAAGTTGTGGTTTTGGAAATGAAAGTGATTTTTCTTTTGCTACTTGAGTGTTGCTTAGACTGCCAAGGAACATAGAATTTATCCCCTACCTTTGTGGTCCTCCTACAGCAAATATAGCAGAGGGATGGGAAGGGCGACACTCTTCCATCTCTAGTATCTTTTCAATATCTGCTATCTAAAAGTAAAAGCAATTCTCTATCCATGAGAGTCTTTCACTGAGGCTATGTTTTTCCAAATTCATTTTATCTCCCTTCACTTTCTCTCTTTCTTCTTCATTCCTCAGTTATTTTCCTCTATAACTTATGTGTACAGCTAGATCTGAATTCTAGGGAGAGACCGAATAGCATTCACCAGAATCCTGCTGCTAAAAAAAAATAAACAACAAAACCCTGGTGTCCAGCACTATAGAGAGTGGGATTTATGCCACAAGACTGTCCCCATCCCCACAAAAACATTTAGTAGTTAAGCTATTTTCAGGACTACTTCACATATATCACATATCGATTTTTAAGTATCCAAGTAATAAATCCTCACATGGAAATAAAATAGTGACATTCATTGGAAAATCCAGCCATTAAAAGGGTTTTGTTTTGTTTTGTTTTTGAGATAAAGTCTTGCTCTGTATCCCAGGGTAGAAAGCAGTGGTGTCATCATAGCTTACTGCATCCTCAAACTCCTGAGCTCAAGCAATCCTCCTGCCTCAGCCTCCTCAGTAGCTGGGACTACAGGAACACACCGTGTCTCGGTAATTTTTCTAGTTTTTGTACTGATGGGATCTCACTTTTGCTCAGGCTGGTCTTGAACTCCTAGCCTGAAGAGATCCTCCTGCCTCAGCCTCCCAAAGTGCTAAGATTATAGGCATGAGCCACATCACCTAGCCAAAAGACTTTCTCTTTAAAAAACAAAAATACACTGGGCCTAGTGGCATGTGCCTGTAGTCCCAACTACTCAGGAGGGTAAGGTAGAAGTATCACTGGAACCCAGGAGTTCAAGGCCAGCCTGGGCAACATAGTGAGACCCCCATCTCTGAAAAAATAAAATAAATAAAAATAAACCCATAATTCTATTTGTTTTGGTGGTAATATAAAAAGGATATTTTACTGTATAAGTACAGTGAACATGTACAAGTAAAAATGCTTGGGAGAAGAAAATATTTTTCTTAGAATATTAGTTCTACATTGGGCATTAAAAATACAATTACCATCGCTAGCTTAATTTCCAAAGCATTCAGATTGAATCAATTTAAAATTAAGTTCTGGTGGCCGGGCACAGTGGCTCACGCCTGTAATCCTAGCACTCTGGGAGGCCGAGGTGGGAGGATTGCTCGAGGTCAGGAGTTCGAAACCAGCCTGAGCAAGAGCGAGACCCCGTTTCTACTATAAATAGAAAGAAATTAATTGGTCAACTAATATATATAGAAAAACTTAGCCGGGCATGGTGGCGCATGCCTGTAGTCCCAGCTACTCGGGAGGCTGAGGCAGTAGGATTGCTTGAGCCCAGGAGTTTGAGGTTGCTGTGAGCTAGGCTGACGCCACAGCACTCACTCTAGCCTGGGCAACAAAGCAAGACACTGTCTCAAAAAAAAAATAAAAAATAAAAAAATAAAAAATAAAATTAAGTCCTGGCTGAGTTCTGAGATAACAATTTTGAATATTGCAAAAAGGAAAAAAAAATCTAGTTGTGATGAAGAGTGAATTTTGTAAGAGAATAAACAACTGGATATAGCTATTATGAGCTAAGAGAGATGTTATATGAAGGGATTTCATGGCAATAGATTGATTTTGTGTTATCACATCAGTGTACCATGATACTCCAGCTTGAGCATATTTCCTCTGAATCACACTTACATTGTCTTGGGTTTCGGAGTAAACTTCTAATCGTTTGTGAACTTTGGTCATAGAACATTTCCAGCAAAGCCAATGTCCTCTGCCGATTCAAAACCCCTGCCTAAGCAGAAAATTTGTAATTAATTGTTATATGAAATTTAAGATTTTTATGCAGTTGGAACATGGTTTATTATCACCACCACCACCATCATCATTATGTAAATAAAAGCTACAGCATCAAAATCAGGAAAGCTATATCTTCCCTTTAGGCTTATATTTGACTTCTCCATTCTGTGACATGTCAAAATGCCTTACAATTAGTGAATGTGTAACAAATATTTGTTGTTACTGACTTATCAATTGCCAACCCAGTATATAATATTCGGTTCTTATCTAACCTTACATGAGTATGTCACTTGAAACAATTAAAATCTTCCTACTTATTCCTTGTTTGCATTGTTTAATTTTGAGAAAAATTTTAATTATAGAAAATGATAAAACATCTGTGTTCCCAACACCCAGAAATGATTATTATTTTGTGTATGTACTAAAAAAAACTGATATAGTACATATATCCTTCTTCAAATTGCTTTTATTTATTCAACACTGAGATCTAATTCATGAATGTAAAGAAATATGTTTTATTTCCTTCAACTGCAGTATGGTATTCTACAATATAAAAACACCATAATTTTTTTTAACATTCCTCTATTGATAGACATTTAGATTATTTTTAGTATTCGGATATCAACATAATGCTGCAGTGGATGTCCTTATACACATTTCCTTATGTGCAAACATTTCTCTAACGCAGTGGTCCCCAACATTTTTGGCACCAGGGTTCAGTTTCATGGAAGACAATTTTTTCATGGACATTGGTTGGGATTGGGAGAGAGGGAGGAGGGAGGCGTAGCACAGGTGGTGATGCGTTGCCCCTTCCTAACAGGCCACGGACTGGTATCAGGAGACAGCCCTGGGGATTGGGGACCACAGCTCTAAGATAAATAACTAGAATTGGAATTATTGGATTGTGTAATGTATGCATTTTCAACTTTAGTAGTTAGTGCCAAATTGCTCCACAAAATGCCCACAACAATTTACATTCCCACCAGCACTGAGAGTATCATTTCTCCAGAACCACACCAAAACTTGATATTATTTTTCCAATTTGATAGATAAGATGGAATCTTATTTTAATTTGCTTTTCCCTGATTATTAGTGAGACTTAATATGTTTTCATATACTTATATATGTGGGTTTCCTCTTCTGCAAATTTTTTTCTTGTTATTTTCCCATTCTTCAGTTGAGAATAGTTGTCTATTTCTTATAAATTTAAAAATTTTGATAATGATCATTTTGTTATCTACATAGCAAATATTTTTCCCAGTTTACCTCTTATATTTTAATTTAACTTTTGATGAGTTTAGCCATATCAATGCTATCCATTAATTTTGAGGATATCCATTAATTTTGAGGTAGCCAAGTATATTAATCATTTCTTCTATGGTTTGCACCCATTTGGAATATTCTTTAGGAAATCAATACCTATACTGAAGTCAGAAGGTATGTACTCTACATTTTCTTCTAAAATTTTTAAAATTTTGGTTCCACATCTAGGTTTTTGGTCAGATAGAACTCATTTCTCCTCATTAGTGAGGTTGGAATCTAATTTTATGTTTTTTCCCAATACGGAAAGCCAATTGCGCCAATATCATTTATTGATTAGTCCTTTTCTCACTGATTTATATTGCTACCTATGTCATATACTAAATTCTCACATACTTTCACATCCAATATTCTGTGCCATTGATTTGTTTATCTATTCCAGCATCAAAGCCAAAGCCATTTTAATTAATATAACTTTATTTTAAAAATCAGGGAAATTCTCCCCAATTATAAAGAAATGTAAAAAAAAAAAAAAGAAAGAAATGTATAATTGTTTTTGGTATATTTGGACTTTTATTTTTCCATATAAATTTTTTAACTAAATATTTTAAAAAATGTATACAATATATACATAAAAATGCACAAATCATAAGTATATGGTTTTATGAATTATGGAATACAAACACACACAGGAGCTGTTTCTCGAAGGAGAATAATGAACTTTAGTAGAGGACAGGGATTTGCTCCAAAACTCAAGGGATTTACAATTCTACTATTGCAACTTGCCACAGCATTCCAATGTGCCACATGCACTCCAAATACCAAAAGATCCTCTGGGTCATAATGTACAAGGTGAAGAAGAGTTTTTGCATTACCTAGAAAAGCCTGTAGAGCCTTTTCTTGCTCTGGGATGAATCCACTCTGGCAACTGATGGCTCAGTTAAAGCATAAAGGCAACACACACAAACCTGCTCAGCTAATTCTTAAAAGCAGAATATGCAAATATGGCAAAAATGTAAAAACAATCCAGTAAGCATTACGCCTCTTCCTTAGTGGTAAGTGGCACAAGGTATGGCAATTTATCCTATACTTGGAACCACTGGATTGCTAAAAATTTCACCAAGGTAGTAAACCTTGGATTTTTGTGGGGTTAATCTCCCATCCTCTGACATGCTTGTGTCTTACCAAAGTATCTAATGCCACTTCTGGCTCAAGTCCAATCACCATGATTGACATCACGAACCTGTGTGATGTTCTGTGATATGTCAACACAATCAAGGTCTTTGCATGCCAGATTATGATAGAGAAAAGGAGAGCTGCCTTAACCTTAAGGCAAAGCAGTGAAAGTATACTGCTGTTTCTGACAGGTGAAATTAAACTTCTCTATTGGCCCTTGTAAACTGCCCTAGAGAAAAGAGAATTTGCCAGACCAGGGATCCTCAAAGTTTTTAAACAGGGGGCCAGTTCACTGTCCCTCAGACCGTTGGAGGGATGGACTATAGTTTAAAAAAAACTATGAACAAATTCCTATGCACACTGCACATATCTTATTTTGAAGTAAAAAAACAAACGGGCAAAAACACCCGCATATGGCCTGCGGGCCATAGTTTGAGGATGCCTGTGTCAGACCAACAGTTGTGAATGAGGCCTATGTTGATTTGGTTCAATAAAGATTCCACACCTGGAAAAGCCACTGCAAATAGAGTCACAGTAATCTACAAACATTCATCAAGATGTATCCACCTTCTGCATAGACAAAACAGAAGAATTAGAAAAGAATGTGATAGGATTACTTCCCTTGAATCCTTTATATATTTTCATATGTACTCTCTGCTTTTGTTTTTGTTATCTGTTTATTTGTTTTTTAGATTCTGGCAGACAGGGAAATTTCAGGAGTTTCTGTTTGGTCCTTCCTACCATAAATGTCCCCAGTCTCCAATTTGAAGAACAAATGTGAGGATTCTGTTATTGCTGAGTGTGTCCATTCCAATTAAACATTCAGGAACCAGAAATAACCATAGCTAAATCCACAGATTAATTGGGCCTGTGCTATAACCTTGGACCAAAATAGCATTTATCACCTGACATCCATAAATTCTAATTTTAAACTAACAGTCCACTGGGGTGCTTTAGGATCCTAGGGATTAGTGTTAACTTGGAGTCAGTGTCTGGTAATCCCTGAAAATCTGGGATATTTTCCATTTTCTCAATGCATAGTCACACTAATAAACGCCTACAGGCCCTGTGAGGAAAACCTGGAGTAATATCTACAATATATGCTTGAGAAAGTCTTGTATAATTCTTTCCCAGGAGACTCAGCCTCTCTTTTAACTGAAGAGTTCAGGGTGTATAAATGGACTTAAGTCTGGAAACTGCATGAGAGACCAAGATTCTCCATTGTGGTATCTCAACTTATGTTTCCGACTCCATAGTTAGTGCTTTTCTGTAAATATACCCAGTTAATAATATAGTAGACATCCTATCCATTTAATTCCTAAGGAAACCATTCATGATCACCAAGACAATCCGTGTGGGCCAAAACATTCAGATGGCCACTTTAACCCCCACTGTTCATTAGGGTAATTCCAAGTATATATTCAGGAACTAAAGAAATAACCACAGTGTGAATCCTAGACAAACTGGACCTATAAAAATATGGCCTTGGTCCTTAGGGATTGAATCAAAATATCATATATCAATGTCATTTATGAGCACTAACTTTGTGGACCCTGTCTCTGGCAGTTAAATGACATACATCTTCTGTCACTCTGGATTCCAATGATTTCCCTTGAAATAAGTTTACTTCAGTGGCAGTGTCTCCCAACATCTTCCCCAGGACAGTTAACAAAGAAGTTTTAGTGATGCTGGTGTTCCCTTCATTAATATTAATATTCTTGAATATTTCTCAAGGGAGTGTCATTTGAGCTGTCTTGGGCTATGTGGTAGAAGTTCATATGCACAGGCTACATATGAGAAATCAATATCAGCAATCTTGAAAGCCTTTAGATTTCTTCCTCTGTAGTATGCCAAGAAGGTTCTGCCATCTCAACCTCATTGAAATGCAGGCCATTTTTGAGTCAAAGTTTAATTTAATCTATGAGATAAATTAAAACGTGTACACTATAAGACTTATACATGAATGTTCTTAGCAGTCTAATTCACAATAGTTCCAAATTGGAAACAACCCAAATGTCCATTGACTCGTGGACTGATAAAAAAAAAAAAAAAAAGAAAAAATTGTGACCCCGCCTACTGCAGCTACTATCCTTCCTCTTTAGTGCCATATTGGATTCAGGACTTCTCTAAAGCTTGCAGTCTCTGAACTATACCCAGGAAATGAAGCATAAGGGTTTGCAGTTCTTAAATTTCATCCCAATCTACATGGAATTTCCAAAAGTGTCTATAATGTTGCCCTCAACCTCCAACCCTGACTGGAGTTCAGGGATGGGGGATTAGGCACTGATCCTGACTAAGGGACCCAGACAACCTCTAAGATTTAGTCATACCTACTCCAACCTCTTCCTCCTATCAGCTGGTCACAATTTCCCAGTGATAGAAAAATTGCTTTGATGTCATATTTTCCATTCTTCTTTATAAGAAGAATGTTCTTTCTCAAGAGCCCAGCATTTTCAATTTAAAGGCCTTCAGGCCCGGGTGTGGTGGCCCACGCATGTAATCATAGCACTCTGGGAGGCTGAGGCGGGAGGATCACTTGAGGTTAGGAGTTTGAGACCAGCCTGAGCAAGAATGAGACCCCATCTCTACTAAAAATAGAAAAACTTAGCCAGGCAACTAAAATTAGAAACAAAAAATTAGACACGCAAAGTGGCATGCACCTGTAGTCCCAGCTACTCTGGAGACTGAGGCAGGAGGATCACTTGAGCCCAGGAGTTTGAGGTTGCTGTGAGCTAGGCTGACGTCATGACACTCCCTCTAGCCCAGGCATCAGAGTGAGACTCTGTCTCAAAAAAAACAAAACAAAACAAAACAAAACAAAACAAAACAAAAAAAGGCTTTCAGAACTCTTGTCTTAGCTACTGGTTAGAAATACCCACTCAGAAACTCAATTCACTTCTTTATTCTAGACTCTATTTACCTTCCCTATGAAGGGGTTAAAATATGCTATTCTAGCATACTGACTATTGTTAAAGACACTTGAAAAGCAACAGATGCAAGAAGATCACTTTGACCTTCATGCTGTTTCTTCAAAGCAGAAGATGAAATTTCCCATGTGAAAGACACTCTCACTGTATTAGAAGGAAAGGCAACATTCTTATCTTCAAGGATGAGAAATTGAGACCAAAAGAATACTGTATAAACCTTGTTAGACTGACTCTTATCTTTTAAGTCTCCATGCATAATTTACCCACATTAACACAGTTTACTATTCTTTGTCCAATCCCGTATATAAGTAACCGACTCTAACTGCTTCTTTGAGTCTTCATTTATTTATGATGGCTCTCATGCCATATAAAACTTATAAATTTGTATGCTTCTCTTCTGTTACTCTATCTTATGTCAGTTTAATTCTCAAGCCCAGCTGGGACCCTAAGAGGATGGAGGTAGAGTTTTTCTGTCCTTACACTTCCAAGATCAGCACATAACTGCTGTTTGAATGAGGGGAAGAAAAGCAAAGAGCACAAACAAGTCTCAGTTATTAATAATTCCTCTAAATATTATCTCACTATGTTTGTTAAAGCATATGAGTTGGTGTTAAGTTGGCCAACAGAGAACATCCTTCAGGCATTTTACTGGGGAGTAAGATCTTGATGCTTATGTCACCCAATAGTTCTTACAAGCTCTGCTAACAGCAGCAATATTCAAGAAGGACTGCCTGAAAGACACATAGACATTTCAGATTTTATAAAATATATTCCTGGCTTTAGCCAAAATAACAGGGATCTGAGAACCTAGACTGCAATATATTAGTTCCTTTAAGAATTGCTTTTTCTAGGCCGGGCGCGGTGGCTCACGCCTGTAATCCTAGCTCTCTGGGAGGCCGAGGCGGGCGGATTGCTCGAGGTCAGGAGTTCGAAACCAGCCTGAGCAAGAGCGAGACCCCGTCTCTACTATAAATAGAAAGAAACTAATTGGCCAACTAATATATATAGAAAAAGTTAGCCGGGCATTGTGGCACATGCCTGTAGTCCCAGCTACTTGGGAGGCTGAGACAGAAGGATCGCTTGAGCCCAGGAGTTTGAGGTTGCTGTGAGCTAGGCTGACGCCACGGCACTCACTCTAGCCTAGGCAACAAAGCAAGACTCTGTCTCAAAAAAAAAAAAGAATTGCTTTTTCTAAAATAAAAAATAAATAAAAAAAAGAAGTACTTTTTCTGAATTGCAGTCCAGTGTGGTATCATTTGCTTACAGTCAAGAAACTGCCCTAAAAAGTCACTGGACTTCTTATGAGTCCATCAAAAGTGATGTTCACTTCATCACATAGGACCCCTTTAATGAGTTCCTCCAGGAGAAACTCCTAACTATAATTTGAACCCCAAATTTCTGTACTTAGCACCAGTTTGTAATTATCTTATAAACATTGTCAATAGCGTGTTTCGTCATGTTTCCCTTTTCACATTCGTGGCTAGGAAGCTTATATCCAAACTTGTAAACAACTCACAATCAATATTTAGGTCAATATGGTAGCATTTTTGAGATAGGGAAAAGATAGGCCCTGCTTGATAAAGAGTCATATAAGACCTGAACCAAGGTTTCTGATAAAAGATAAAATAAGAGGTGGAGAAACTGGCCAAAACCAGCTAGGACCCAGATGACCACAAAAAAATGGCCTCGGATTATCTTCACTGCTCATCATACCCTGTTTATAATGTATTAGCATACTAAAAGAAACTCCCACCAGGTCTGTGACAGTTTACAAATGCCATGGCAACTCCTAGAAATTACCCTATATGATTTAAAAGAGGGAGTTCTCAGTTCTGAGAATTCCCCACTCCTTTCCCAGAAATCTTATGAATAATTATCCTACTGCTTAACATAAATTTAAATAGCAGGTATAAAATGAACTATTCAACATGGAGGTGGAGGCCAATAAGGTAGAACTGATGTTCCAGAGAGCTGACTCTGATCTGGATTACATTTAGTACAAGCTAGAATATGAAATCAAGACTAATTATCCTGATTCAGCAGGCAAACTCTCACCACTGGCTGGAGAAAAGAAAACTGCAACAGAGCAATTAAAATCTCACATGCCAGACTTATGAAGAAATGGACTTGCAAAAATTTAGGAAGTTGTCTCTTAACACTTGATGATTAGAAGTGGGGGGCTGGTGAAGGAGTAGGAGGTTTGGCTTGAATGACTGGATAATGATACCTTTCATAAGAGAGAAGAATATAAGAAGAAGGGAAGATATTATATGAATAAAGTTCAGCCAAAAGGATGACATGGGAATAAAGGAATTTAAATACACACACCACACACACACACACACACACACACACACACACACACACACACACACACACAGAGTCTTGTAATTTTAGGTGAAGAAGTCTTTTGACACTATTTTGTATCTGTTTTCCCTTTGTGTAGTGGGGTTCTGGCCTATTATAAAAGAATTTCAGTCAGTCAATATGTGAATGAGCATGCTTTGGAAACTAAAGGGTAGGCAAAAAAAAAAAAAAAAAAAGGTATAAAATAAGACCCCAGAAACTCAAAAGGTCTACTCTCTATTGCTGAGAGAGAGAGAACTGCTGCCCTATCTATGGGGCAGCCTCCTTTTTTTTCCTTTTCTTTAATAACCTTGCTCTGTCAGCTTGCTCTTGAATTCTTTCCTGCTTGAAGCCAAGAACCTGCTTGGCCTTCAGGCCAGACATCCAGTGTGGGGCCTACTTTTTTGTATTATTTTGGGCTTTGTTCCCAGCTTCATTTAGTAGCCTCTCTCTTATTTTTTTCTTCTTTTATCCTACTTTGTTGCATTCTATCTATTCTTGTGAGCTTCCTTAAATCCTTTCTGGAACATAGGCATACAAATAATAAATATAAGGTTCATAAACAAATATATTTCAGTAAAGTTTATATCATATTACAAATCCACTTGGTATCCTTGCACACAATTGTCCTCCCAAATCCCATTCTCGGAAACACTTTTTTTTTAATTTCAGCATATTATGGTGGTACAAATGTTAAGGTTACATATATTGCCCATGCCCCCCTACACCCTCGAGTCAGAGCTTCAAGCGTGACCATCCCCCAAACGTTGTACACCTCACTCATTATGTTTGTATATACTCATCCCCTCCTCCTCCCTCCCACCTGCCCGACACCCAATAAATGTTATTCCTATATGTCCACTTAGGAGTTGATCCATTAATACTTTTAAATATAAACTCTTCTTGTTTTTAAGAATCAGCATAATAAAAGTGGTAGGCTTTCTACTCCTAGCAACTCTTTTCTGTAGGGAGCCACCAACAATGAGAGTAAGAAAAAACTTAATTTAAAAGTTTAAAAACTGAGTTTTAAAAGTTTAAAAAAATTCAAAATCTGAATTGTATTTTGTATGTTCTTTTTCCTCCTTAGTAATCCATTTTCATTTTCATTCGGTCTACAACAGATTGAAAATTAGAAACATCATCAACAACAACAACCACCTAAAAATGGGTCCATCATAACAAATAGTTTGAGAAGCAGTTCTGTGCGGGTCTGAACTCACCTTCTGTGGGGGTCTGAACCCACCTTTACACAGTCACAATGTACGAAGAGTTCGGCAAACATCTGCCTCTGCATGTCAATTTTTATGACTTCCCGGAATTCATCTGCACAGTGGCAAAGGTGCTTAAGGAGTTTCTCAAACATTTCATTTTTAAAGTCTGTAACATGCGAACAGATGTACTGCAGGGAAAAAAAAGAAGGTAAATGATTGACATAGAACCTTGCTCTTTACTTGGATTTTCCCAAGGATTCAGCCAATGTGCATGAAATGTATTGGCTGCAAAATGTTTCCATACCATTTGTTTATCACTTAGATGAAGTATTTTCATGTTAATGCTGCTCTATAAGCTGTGATGCAGAGAGAGGTAACCAGTGAAGTCCCCAGCACCCTACAGCAATGGGACTAGATATTTTTGGAGCAATTTCCCTCTATATCACATCAGCATTATATAGGGCAGACTTTCCTCACAGTATAAAATAGCAGCATTGCCTGGAAAACGTTGCCTGTAAACTAAAAGTTCTAAAATTAAATGCAGTTTTTCTACTGGTATATGATATATAAGAGCATGTGTGTTCTAAGACTGGTTACAAGGCCCCTTTACCTGTGATTTTTTTTTTTTTTTTTTGAAAATGTAGGGACTGAAAACAGCTATATTCTTGGGCAATTTCTCTTGATCCCTGTTGAATAGATTCCCAGAAGTGGGATTGCTAGCTTAGAAGGCGAATGTACCTGTATTTTTTTTAGGTTTGACATGCAGCCTGTACCCTTTTGCTCTCCCACCACTAATGTATATATGAGTGACTATTTTTCCTCAGCCTCACCATCAATGGGTATTGACATCTGGATTTTTGATAGCTCAGGAACAAATTATATTCTTTAAAATTTTTTTTTAATGGGACAGGGTCTCACTATGCTGCCAAGATGGTCTTGGATTTTTGGGCTCAAGCAATCCTTCCGCCTCAGCCTCCTGAGTAGCTAGGACTACAGGCGCCCACCACCATGCCCAACTACAAATCACATTCTTGATCTACACGTCACTATAAGAGATAAAAAGTATCATGTGACAGAAATGATCAAGCACTGCATGAGTTTCTGAGTGGAATTCTCTTGAAGTGTTAGCCCAGCTCGTAGTCAATGATTTTCTTCCCTTCCCCAAGCAGAGAGGTAGCCAATTTTATATTGCATGACTCCACTTCCATAGCCATAAATGGTTGGATCAGAGAACACTTAACCTAAGTAAGGTCATTCAGATTCTCTCCACGGGAATGAGGGATTAGAATTGAGGAATGGCCAGGGATCTTTGAGTGGGGCTGGACTTGTGAATGTGTAGGGAAGGCAAAACTTCACCTCTGCTCTCTTAGGGTCTGTGGGTAGGCCTGAGAATTAAAGTAACATAAAATGGACTAATAGGAGAAACACATAAAAATTTAATCTAAGTGTCATGTGACAGGGAACCCTCATAAGGAAATGAAGACCTAAAGAAGCAGCAAAACCTACATGTTTTTATATTAGAATGAACAAAGAGAGGCAATTGTGGAAAAGTAACCAAATTATGTAGGGAGGCTAAAAGGAAGATAAGAATTATTTTAACAAGGTCTGTTTGTACGGAATTCTTTTGTCTAAGCCTTCCAACTGAAGAATGTTTCCTTTCTCCTGGTAGAGGGAGGGCATCTTTCACAGGGAGATTTTAATCTACTATTTTCAGGAAGGAAAGGGGAGATTAGAATGCCCTTCTTGTATCTGCTGTTTTTCAAGTTCCTTTAGCTCAAAGTAATCCTTATGCCAAAGTGGCATATTTTGGGTTAGTATATTCTGCCACCCTTCAAATGTAAATTTGAGAGTTGTTGGACAGCCAGATTGCTCCATGTAAACTGAGGCTGCAGAGAAAGTCTGTTCATAGAGAGAGACAGATGATATAGAAAGCAGAGAGAAACAAGAGTCTTGGTCCCTGTTCTGGTCTCTTCCTGAAGCCCTTGTATTATGCACATTTCATTTTTAGCTATATTAGTTCAAGTTGGTTTCTGGTTCTTGTAATTAACATGTTTTAGCAATTTGCTACTAAAGAATAGTCATTAGTTTGAAATGTAACATGTTTCTAGCATATTTCATTGATGCATAATTTTTGAAGATGATATTTAATTTCCTCATCATCTAGGCAAATTTAGAATGTATTATTAAGAGACACGTCTGGCTTGAATCCATGCTAATGAGTCATTAACCATTATTCAACTGGCTTAAAGGTCAAAAGAGAAAAATTTACAGCAGAGCAAAAAAGTTTTCTAAATATTTGGTTCCCTTAGCTGTCTAAATCACCTGGTTGTCATTATTCTTGATGAATCAATGAGCACAGCTAAGTTCTTCCCTGTTACCAGGGAAAGCAGAATAGTGGAAGTGGTTAAGAACTCTTTCTGAAGCCTGAGTTCAAATTCCAGTTTCCATGTTCCTTCATTTGTGAAATGGGTACCATAGTAGTAGGATCTCACTGGGTCATCATGAGCGTCTTGTATATGTACCTAGAGTTTGGGTATTTCAGGTAATAAGTTCTCCAGAGCCATTGCTCCTGTCTGCTCTTGAGGCAGATAAGCAATTGGGCAAGAAAATTTTCTTCATTGAATAAAGCAGTCCTCCCAGCTGACATACAACTTTGAAGGGAAAACCCAATGAGATCAATGATTCACAAAGTGTGATCCCTAAACCAACTGCATCAGCATCACCTGAGAACTTGAGAGAACTGAAAGTATTTGAGCCCCAGATGTACTGAGTCAGAACCTCTGTAGAGGCCAGCAATCTGTAGTTTGACAAGCCCCTCAGGTGATTCTGATGCTCATTGAAGTTTGAGAACAATTGAACCAGGTGATCTGGGATAACTGATCCTAATTAGTACGTTATACTAAGATCCTGTTGTTTGGTCCTTATTGACTTTTTGCTTGAGTAGTTATTTTTCTAAATTACTCATATGGCACAATTATTGAATATTGAATATGGTACAAATATTGAATTATTTGACATTTTCAGCAATATTATGGCTCAATCCTCTAATGCTGAAAGAAAAAAAATCACTGGTTCAGAAAAGAATCATCCTGTTTTGTATCAGGATGATTCAACATTCTCAATATAGCCTAGGGGTTTTCTGAGTTAGCATGTTCTGATTGTTCTGTATATATAGGCTAGCTGGCATAAAGACTAACAATTGCCAATATCTGTACAGACCTTGTTTAAATAATTCTTGCCCTCTTGCTTCCTCACATGACTTAGTTGCTTTTTCACAATTTACTATTCTTTGCCCAATTCAGTGTTCTTCTCTGTGTCTCTGTGTCTTCATTTCCTTATGAAGTCTCCTATGTCATGTAAAAATTGTGTGTTTTTCTCTTGTTGATCTGTCTCAGGTCAAATTAATTCTCAGGTCCAGCCAGGAAAAACACCTAAAAGCATAGAGGTAAAATTTTGCCTCCCCTACACACTCACCCATCCTCACTATAATTGCAAGACAAATAACACATTACTATAAATGTTCATTACAGATACCTGGGAATAGTGAACATAAGTGACAATATGAGTCAAGATTCTCATGCCTAGAGTGAGCAGAGCTGATAAACAGGCCACACAGTGAATAGTCCTTGTCTGAGAAGCAATACTTTGTTTTACTTTGGAGGTGAGTTAGAGCAGTGGTCTCCAACATTTTTGGCACCACGGACTGGTTTCGTGAAAAGACAATTTTTCCACAGACTGGGGCGGTGGCGGGTGGGCAGAGCTCAGGCGGTGATGCGGAATGAGTTGTCTCTGGAATGAGTTGTCTTTGGAGGATCAAAGTGTTCTGGGAATTTAAAACAAACCTCATCTGCTCCTAAAATATATTTGTAAATACTTGACTTATAAAACAAAACAAAACAAAAATTCCCAAATAAGCCAGTACACTGTACATTTTAAACTGTTTCTGTCAATGTCTAAAGCATTGTTCTTAAGGTTCCTTTTGAAGTAAAGAAACAAGTCATGGCAGGTGAAAGAAATTTAAAACTCATGCCCAACAGATGAGTTTCCTACATGAAACCTGCCCTGTTGAAGTCTCATTTATCTTTTGCTATGCATTCCTCAGCAGCAATGAATATAATAGTTCATAATGTTTGCATCTGTTCATTGCTTTGTAAATTTGTGTGTGTGTTCTTAATTTGTTTATATTGTGTTCCTCCCCTTCCCAGATCCTACTCTGATCCCATCCAGTGTGCCTGTGCATGCACATATCCTCCCCCTCCCCCACAGACAGGGACATTAATTTGTGCATATACCTACAGATGCACTCCCTTACAACAATGCATTGTTGTAATGAGTAAATATTCAATATATACTTAGTAACTAAAAGACTAGACGTAAACATTCTAAAGTAGTTACTTTGGGTCTTCATTTACTGGAATACAACAGATGAAAAGTGAGAGACAGGTTATAGTCAACAAAGACATCATAACCTCTTCATTTACTCATCAGAAAATAGATAACACTAGGAAAATGATAGGCATATAGAGGCATCTGTGAGCATTCATTCTCTTCATTTCTATTTTTCTGTATTTTCTCTATTAATTACTACTCAATGATTCAGTTTTCTCCAAACATACTCCATCTTGAGTGTTAATTACATTGCTTATTACAAATGATCAGAAAGGAAAGTGTATGGCATAGTATCTCCACTAGGTGGCACTTGTGTGTAATAGCTTGATATTAACCCCAACATTTATAATTACATTTTCTTCCAGTTTCATTGCTTGAGTGCTGATAAAATAGCCTTAAAGCAAACCTCCTTAAAAGCAAGTGCTCCAAACACTACTTCTATGTCATATAGGATGGTTCAATGATTTGCTGATCAGATAATTAACAATTTTCAATAAATATTGCTGTATAAGAAATACTTTCTTCGCTCTGTCTGGGTAACAGCTCTTCTTTATAATGAAAGTGCCTGATTGTGTGCTGCTTGCATTTCAAAAAGAGAAGTTGGAAAATATCAGGAAAATTAATACTAATAGCCCAAACCATTCATCAAAACGAAATTATGGGCCGGGCGCGGTGGCTCACGCCTGTAATCCTAGTACTCTGGGAGGCCAAGGTGGGCGGATTGCTTGAGGTCAGGAGTTTGAAACCAGCCTGAGCAAGAGTGAGACCCCCATCTCTATAAAAAAATAGAAAAATTAGC